CCACTTTGCCCCCCCTGGCCACTTTGCCCCAAACTCCCCTACACTACCCATATCTTCAGTATCTTTTGAGGAAGAGACATTATATTATTGGTGTTCACAAGAATCGGTGTATCATCTGCCTACATGACATGATTTGAGGTACTAAAGTCATTTACAAAGATAATGTACTGGTCCTAGTATGGACCCTTGAGGTAGTCCCAATTCTCTCACACATCTATTCGACTGAAAGGCATTGATTTGAATGAACATTACTTCCCTTCGGTCAAACAGTCACGATACCATAGCTTTCCAACCTGAATAACAGCATACGATGATCCACCATATCAAACGGTTTTGTCAGGTCAAAGAATATGCGAACACTTTCGTTGCTAGCGGCAGGTTATAATAAAGCCAGTTTATAAATCTAGTATCTGCTACACTAGTTGACATACCCTTTCTGAATCCAACTTGCCCAGAGTTGAATAAATCACATTTATCAAAGTAAGTCACCAAACAGTTAGCCACATACTTCTCCAGAACCTTAGTAAAAGCAGTCAGGAGAGGTCTATAATTTTGGACATGAATTTTATCCCCTTTTTATGTATAGGTGCAATCTTTCCTATGTTTAGACAACTAGGAACCTTACTTTCTTGCAAAGAACAGTTTATTAGATATGTTGGCATACCAGCAGCTGATTCTGCACATTTTTTAAATACGTGCAATGACATTGCTATTGTACTGGGATCGTTAATTATCGAATTCTCAACACACAAACATACTGTTTTATCTTCGAAATCATTCCCTTTATATTGCCAGGTAAATTTGTGTATAATTTTTGTCCTAAATGAAGGTATGATCGTTCTGTTATGAATTTATTTGGGCTAGGTATAACTGCTCCTCTTAGCTTATGCCTCGTGTGGTGATTGTGTTTAATTTTGGGGTCGTTATTAATAAATTTGTTATACGAGAGATGTCTTTTAAGTTTTGCATATAGAAATATAGTAGGCCGCGCGGATCGAACGTCAGTTACTGAATCTTAACCTCACTCTTTAATAAACTTAATTCAAAGCTTCACAACAATACGTGCAATGTTCTCACTACAGTGAATTTGCAAGTGTCACCAAGTCATTAGAAAAATGGAACTCAACCGAGAACATTTTCGAGCCATAATTTATTACAACTTTCAGAGACAATTATCGCAACAAGGATGCCTTGCTGAGTTACTGTCTGTTTTCGGCAACGAAGCGCCGCATCAGTCGACAATTTCCCGTTGGTATGGCGAATTCAAACTTGGACGGGTGTGTCTTAGCGACGATCCCAGGGTGGGTGCACCAAAAACGGCAGCCACCCTGGACAACGTCGATGCTGTGCGCAAACTCATCATTGAAGATAGACATGTGACATATCGCAAGATTGAGGCGTCCTTGAAGATCTCAAAGACCTCAATTCAAAAAAAATGTACATTTTCTTACTCCTAATGCTTCAAATTAGTTTCTCGTTGGATACCTCACTTATTGACTGAAGAGCAGCAAGCAGCCAGGGTCAATTGGTGTCAAAAAACGCTTGACCGTTTCAATTCCGGAAACTCAAAAAATGTGTACAGCATTGTTAGTGGTGATGAATTGTGGATTTACTGTTATGAACCAGAAAATAAACGACAGTCGGCTGTTTGGGTGTTCCAAGGTGAAGAAAAGCCAACAAAAGTCATCCGTTCTCGAAGTGTTTCGAAAAAAGATGGTCACGACATTGGTGTCAAAAGCGGGTCATATTGCAACAATTCCTCTTAATGAGCAAAGAACTGTTACTGCGGATTGGTATACCACCATATGTTTGCCAAAAGTCATCACCGAGCTTCGAAAAATCAACCCCAAAAGAAGAATCATCCGCCACCAAGATAATGCAAGCTCGCAAGAAATCGTGGAATTATTGGGCCATCCTCCATATAGTCCCGATCTAAGTCCTAACGATTTCTTTATTTTCCCGATAATTAAAAACAGACTGCGTGGTTAAAGGTTCCAGTCACCAGAAGAAGCAGTTGATTTAGATGTATATTAATCTTCCTGGAGAATACTTCGAAAAACAATAAAGTAATTTAAAACTACCTACCGTGTTGTTTTATTTCCATATGCAAAACTTAAAAGACATTCCTCGTAGTTGGTTATAGGATGTAAGAGATAAAGCTGTTTTAAGTCACATACGTGTATATCTTTGCATAAGATGTCAGTTGGATGCAATTTTAGTTTGTTACACATTAAAATCAGTTTCTGAAAAATGTCCAAATCTTAAATATGAGTGGAGCATAATATGTATCTCTATGTCAATATACCGTAGGTTAAATATGGCTCGATCAACTTATGGTATGAGTTATAGAGATATTTCTCTTTTGTAATGTTTTTGATGTATTTAATTGTATACGAGACTTATTTAACTTTTTTTAAAATATGTGAGATATGAATATGCCAACGCAAGTGTGGATCCAGGAATATTCCAAGGTATTTTATATCTGATGCTCTGTTAATTTCTAATTTTTGATTATTTATGACAGGTAGGTTTGTGTAATTTAGTTGATGTCTAGAATAGGAAGGAAATGGTAAAAATATGTTTTTGAGTAATTAATGCTCAATTATCTGTTATTAATAATGTTGTCAAAATTATTTTCGCCGATACTTTTTAAGTGAGACCAATCATCACCTTGGTAAATAACTGCTGCGTGTCATCTAGGGAAATTACTATTTTTCCCACATGTCAATTTGAAATATACCATTCTAATAATATATTGAGTGAACCTAAATCGGTTCTCTGTAGACCGCCACATTTGATAAATATTTCTTTATTGAAAATTTTTGATACTTTAACGGATTACTGTCTGCTAGATAAGTAATTTTCTAGTAGTGGGTACATTTTCGCCCGAAATCCAACTAATGAAGATGGGACGGTACCTATATGCTTGCTTAAGAAGACAGGAGGAATTTAACTTTATGGTATAAGCACGTCAGAGACTTTGAGTTTATATCAAAATCCCAAATGAATTAAGCAAACTGATCGACTAAGTGCAACACATACGGAGCTCAACTTCTCGAAGGGAAAATACACACTGCAAAAGCTGATCCTTAACGCAGCTGCTAATCGCTCTTGCACACACACACGCACCACCCTCACACACACACTCACATCCATTTTCTGAAATTACTCGAATAGATTTAACAGACTCTCGACATATACAGGGTGGCCCATCCATGTGTGGGCGGAGTATTACTCATAAATAAACATATACATTTTGGGAAAATATATTTATGGGATGTTATACACGAAATTTGAGAGCACATTTCTAACATATTGACAATTATACAGGATGTCCCAATTTCGACCTACATATCAAAGTTGTGATTTTTCAAATGAAATGCCTAAAATTTTATTACATATTTGGATAAATCAATTCCAAAGGAGAAAATTAATATAACATACTATGGGGTTTTGGTTATTGGCTACTGAGATATAAGGTGTTTTTTCTAGAAAAACCCCTCACCGGCAATCCCTCAGTCCGCCACGTCTTTTATGGAACGGCTTAATTCCCTAAAATATCGCATCATCCTTGGAAACAAATAAATATTGTTGGTTAGTCACAAACTGTCAAAATTAGCTTTGTGACCATTATAGTAAAAACGTGTTTGAAAATGAATTTTTCTAAAGAAGAAATGGTGAAGATGGTGTTCGTTTTGGGCGAAGCCCAAAGAAATAGTTTCCTAGCATCTCGCATTTATAAGCAACGGTACCCTAATGTGTAACATCCAAGGCCGGAAACATTTTCTACACTACGAGAACGTTTTGAATCAAGTCGAGCAGTGGAATATAATAAAAAATGTATAAATAATCCAAGCGTCACCAATGAGTCGAATCAGTTGGAGGTTCTATTAAAGTTGCAGGAAAATCTCCATTTAACAGCAAATTAACAGGTACAGAATACTTGATTTTTTTGATCGAGCATTTGCCTTTGCTTTTGGAGGATGTCAACCTGCAAACTCGGATGCATATAATCGTTAGATCGGTTGTGACGGGCCTGTATCTTGGCCTCTTAGATTACCAGATATGACACTGATGGACTTCTTTCTATGGGGCTACGTTAAGCAAGAGGTTTATAGATATCCACCATATCCACATAAGGGAACAACATGCTGAGGGATGTGCGACGGTCATTTATTCAAAGACTACGGCTGTGTATTCAACAGGTTGGAGATATTTTCGAGCAGTTTTTGTAGATTAGGTCTATTGAGTAGTGATAGTTGTTTGTTTACGTTGTTGTTATAGTTGTTTTTGTCTATTATCTACGCTTGAAGCTGATTTATATTGTTCTGATTGTTATTAGTTTTTACGTCAAATCTGTACCTACTCTTAGTGGCAATATGGAAATAGCCCACTGTTTGTCTTTTGTTTCCAGGGATGATGTGATTTTTTTCCTGAATTTTGGTGTGTTGTTCTATTAAAAGCTTAATAACTCAAAATCTAGTGATCTTACCTGAATCAAACCTGAAACCAAAAAAAAGCTTATTCAAACTTGTACAAATATACAGGATGATGCATGTGAAGTTTTTGAGAAAAAGTACAATTCGCGTTTTTGACCACCCTGTATGAGCAAAAAACAAAATTCAAAAAAGTAACAAATAAGATAAAATCTGAGGTATGTAAGTTTTTTTGATACAAAATTCAGCACTCCAAATTTCAAAATGGCGGATTGAGGGTTTGCCGAAGTGGACAGTTTTTCTGGACAAAGCACCTTACATCTCAGTAGCTAATTACCAAAACCCCATAGTATGTTATATCAACCTCTTTTTTTGAATTGGTTTATGCAAATATGCAATAAAATTTGAGGCATTCTATTTAAAAAATTACAACTTTGTATCTTCAGGCATTGCTACGTTTTATAATGAAGATCAACTAAAGAAAAAACTCAAATCTCACACAAGCAAGTTGTCACAGTGACAGGAACAAGCATTTATATGTGGAAGGCTCATACGTTAACCAGATAATAATCAAGGCAGTGAGACCAAACCAAAAAACGTAGCTTTGCGGTTACACAAACTTCCGCGCAGAGAAGCAGTTTGCTAGTGCATGTGCATTGATTAACGTATTCTACCTAAATATAGACAACCTAATGCAATATTCGCGCGTAAAAAAACTATCCGACTTGATTTGAAAAACTACAAAGTGAAAAACAATTGCGTCGTGTCCTATACGAAATTCGTCAAGCTTACAGAACACATAACAATATCATACCCCAGGGTAAATGCACAATCTCGAGAAATTCACATGAAAGCTAGGAGGGTGACATCTATCACGAAAGTGTTTATCCTACAGATTTCCACACGGAATGGGTATAGGCTTCGATACTTATAGCGAAGCTCACATGAAAGCTCCTACGAAAATGACAGTAACAACGACAACTTTGACTTTTTAAAAGTCAGCTATATTATTAACCTCAATTTGTTTGTGATAGAAGTAAACAAACTTTTTGAAAAATAGTGTTTATCTACTTCGAAGAAGTCCACTAAATGCAGCCTCACGCAGAGAAACTGACGAAACCAAAAAACATGTCTGAAGAACTATCTGGAGTTACAGTGATCATTATAATCGGTTTGGGAGTGTTGACATTTTTGATGCTGTTTATATTTGCCAAAAGGCAGATTATGCGCTTCGCATTAAGATCTAGGAGGGGCCCCCATGTTCCTATTGGCCACGATGCCCCTAAAGTAAGTCTAGTGATTACAACCAATAGAACTAAAAGCAAGATCAATTACTTCCTAAAGTGATAGCCACAAACAAAAATTGCTTCCTGTATCTCTCTAGTTCTTGCATATCCTTGATTCTATCTTATTATATTTTCACACTCGAGATCTCTTTAAGCTTTGTAAACCTATTTCAAAAGTCATCTCAGTGCTGTGACCTAAGCTGGCATCCTCATATCCACATGAAGTATATAATAATATAATAAATGGCTTTATTTTATCCTCGGAAAAGAACAGGTTTAATGTCTTTTAATGTTATGAATGCTCCCTGTCATATGTATGAAATATTAAATGTTTTAGGCATTGAAAAGAGAAATTGAACGAAGGCTAGATCTAATCCAAAAAATAGTGTGTGAACCTCAGCTGATCAGCAAAACTGATCCAAGGTATATTATTGGTCCAGGACAACAAATACCTGCACACTATTATAGGTTGAAAGCAGTTGATGATGTAAAAATATTAGGTATGTCTTCTATGAGCTGAATTGTAAAGATAGGACCTTAACGCACAATGAATGTTTCTCTGGTTACTAAATATAACCACAGAATTAGACCAAAGAGTAGATTTAGGAATCTATCTAGGGGGTGCAGGATCCATGTACAGAAAGATATTTATCTGTAGAAGGTGGATGTTAGGGATTGAAAATTGAAGAGTGCTGAGCATCCTTAAGCAGTACTTCTGAAAATAAATGCTCTTGTGACAATTAAAGAACAGGGGGTGGGGTACCTCTAGGGAGGGTGCCTCTTAGCACTCAACATATCAACACTTAATACATATGTATTTCTGCCATAGCTGGTCAGTTGACCACTTGTGGTAGATAAGCAACAATTACTCAAAATGAACAAAAATCAAATAAAAAGTTATGTAGGTATATAAAAAAATCATGAAATGCAATATGGAAAAGCAATGAGATTGATATGCTCACTTTCAAGGCAAAAGTTGATGACCAGCCATTTACTGTATGTTTAGTGTTGAAGTTTATTCCAAACTGTCCATTTCGACTATACCATTCAGAAGGTCTTTAAAATTCCACAGGCCTACATAACAACTTTCACTGACTTACTATGTCACAGTTATTATGTTAAAATTGTTTTCCTATTATAGAAGCTGAGATAACAAAACAGGACCCCTGTCTGGTACGGCATCCATCAGAAAATCTCAGAGCATATCTTTTAACTACTCTGGCTGCACCTTTAAATGGTAGTGGTCAAAGACTGATCCATCAGTTTTGTGATCTGTATGAACATGCCAGACATGATCCCAATCATTTTGGCGATGAAGAGTATCAACAGTACAATAGGTTGCTTTTGAAATTAGTAGATGCGTAAGTAATGAAAGTCACAAATGCTATAAAAGTTATATCAACCAGGATCATTGGTTAATGTATTTCAGAATAGGATCAATTAATGCCAGGATGTACTCCTTTCATCAAAAATACAACATGCCAAAGCTTTATTATGTAGCTAAAGCTACCAGCTAGAATTTTTGGACCAAAAAAGATCATGGAAAATTTCAATTCTATAATATTTTACTAAGGCAAATATCACATCACCAGTATTTATTCATGGATCTGCCAGTGACAGTGGATTTCAGTGTAACATTATACATCAATAATTAGTGATGTCCTGTCTACTCATTCAATAAATATTAACATTCCATGATAAATACTGACAGCTCTCAGTGAATACTGATCAACTGACATTTGCCTAAGGGTACTGATACTAAAGTCGAAATCACGAAAGATGATGATTACCTCTTCATTTTACTCTGTAGTAAAGACTAACGACAGGGATTTGTGAATATTTTTAATGAAGTTCCATATATGTTAGACAGAGACAAACAGATTGATCGATCATATTTGAAAGATAAATAGTTAGGTTATGTTAAAGCAGGTTAGGTTGTTTTCGAATAATACTTTGTTTTTTGGTGTTCCTGTCTTAAGGTATTCTATACATAACTGTTTTTTTCAAAACAAAAGCTCTTCACTAAAATTATTATTAAGGTATCACTTAAAACCATGAAATAAAATGAAAATAAAAATAATCAGTGACATAACCTAACTTCGCAAAATCATAATATAAATTTGTTCCTGACATTGTGATTTTATCATACATTGATTACTTCAGTACAATTTATGGTATGACATAATAGTCATCTTTTGTGATTTCGACTATATATTTGCATTTGCAGTGATGATAACGTTTTATGTGACAGCACCTTGTCATGATGCAATCTATATATCTGATTAACCTTATTTTATTTTAGGGCTAAATTGTTGAAATCGTACAACAGCAGGAAGTCCTCACCAAACAGGACTCCACAGAAAAAAACAAATCTGGACAGAAGCAGAAACTACTCAGCAGATAAAGAAATACTGAGTGTTGTAGACAAAATGGAGACAAGACCTACATCTCTTACTATCCCTTCTAGTAATGATAATGAAACGCCAGTATGAGTAACATTTTGAATTCGGATATAGGTGTTTATGACCTAGATATCTCAGTATATGAGCTTGTCACTCTGATGATATAAGATAGATATATAAGTAACTCAAACTTATCATGATGCCATCATACATTAGTTTTTTCCCATAACTTAAATAGATAGGGTTTTGAAACACTTTGTCATCACTAAATTGGATCAATCTGAGGATCCATATCTCAGTAAGATGAGAATATGAGCTAATTGGTTAGACACTTTTATATTAGATCTATCTAGATTATCTCAGTAATTTATGATATTGGGTAGAAGTATTCCTCAGCATATCTGCTAAAATGTATTCTTTTTTATATCTTACATTGTAGATTTTTATGAGATGTTGCAATACTGACTATAGGGAATATGCATATGACTCAAATATCGCTTATGTTATTTACAATCTATATGACGCCTTCAACCTCATTTCTGACTTGAGAGCTTAAAACTTACGAGTAGCAATGAATAAAAAATGAATAGGCGGTGAGTTTAAAATGCCGAAATGGAACGCTATTGGCCAGACGACACCAGTTGCTAGTTGTGACTAGCCAATCTTTTAATGATTTTTTCGCGAGACCACGATGTAGCACATGTTATTCCTGCAAACTTTAAACATATAAAATGTAAAAAACGTTTAAAAATTGAATTAAAATTATGGATCCTAAATCAACCAAGGTTACAAATCCATAAGTTTGTTGACACTAAAAACCTATATATTATTTGATAATAAAATGATTCAAATTTATACATTTGATTAGTAATACGTTTAGAAAATCTGTTGTATTAATATAATTCATCTTCGGTTAAAACCCTAGCACAAGTGTACATTTTTTTGGGTATATTATGTTTATTGGACATTGCCGTTATTATTTATACGAAAATTTTGTAATTGGACCAATAAACATTATTATTATAGATACAGGAACCGCACTTGTCATATAAAACGGTTTACGAGTATTTTAATGATATACATTGGACAAAAACCGATTGGCCTTTTGATTTTAGATTCAAGTTTATCAAGGAGCTTAAAGCAACCTAACCAATCCCGATGTAAGTTGACACTGTCAAAAGTTCGAGAGGGAAAATTCCATCTGCCCCCACTTTTTTGTCAATTCGTCATTTAAAATGCAGCTTTTCATTGTAGTATTAAGGATAACAATTAAACACTTTGTAACCAGATGGTACGTCAACAACTCTCAGTAACCTATCAAAAAATGCTGCGTTTAAATCCCCGTGATTGGCATTACAGTTTTAAATATTTATTAAATGAAGACGGACTTTCCATGAGTGAAATATGTGTTTACGGCATTAACGTAAATAATTGACAGAGAATACAAAAAGAAATCATGCATATTTCCTTCCTTGTAGAACTATGATATTACTTCCGCAAAATTTATTTCTTTACTGCTTTTGGAGACGCAAAATTTTAAGACACACTTTCTATATATATATATATCTATATATATATATATATATATATATATATATATATATATATATATATATATTAAAAACACTTCTATGAAAGAACAATTGTGATATTTTATCAAATCTGACTATATTGATAATTACAACTCATGTATTTCATCCACTTTTGGTGTTTCATAAACTCGTCATCATGTCTAAGAGCCTGTAATGTAGCACCAAACATCTCCCTGTAAGTTTTTGGTATGTACTCTTCTGTGTTCATGTGATACAGCCATTCTAATGTCTGCAAATCAGAAGTGTATTGATTAATGGATAAGGATGTATCTAATAAATTTATCATACAAATATCTTGTTTTAATAGAAATGGATATAGCTTGGTGAACTTAACTTTTCAAGTTTCTTTGACAAACACCTTGACGGCCGGAGCCCTTACCTGACTTGTGCAGACGCTCCACTCGTCATCATCTAACAGAGAAGCAAAGGCTTGTGGAAATAAATTTTTCTCAGTATTATCACTACGGACGAATACATGAAAACCAGACAATTCAACAATGGTGAGTATAAGAATGTTGAAATAGCAGTGCATCTCAACGTCGTCACATCTGTCGGCCACTTTAGCCTGGATTCTTCCAATTAGATCTAACAACCATAGGCCACAGTCTGCCGCGTTGTTGATATGCTTTCTGAACACTTTTTTGAACTGATTCATAATGAAGAATAAGCTGAAAGAAAGTAAATATTCATTGATTTCTACTTTTTGCCGTAAAAAAATACAAATTTTTGCAAGTAAAATTGCCTTACTTCTTTCCACGCTCTTCAAAATCGCTCGCGCTTGTAACCTCTATGATATCATTTAACCAATTTAATTGTGGTTCGGTAGAATCCATAGCAAGGGCACACCTAATAATAACTATCTTTTGTAGATGCTCTTCTGATATATCAGACTCCAATGACACAATTTGCTCCAAACATTTCTTGGGTAACACAATTATTAAAGGTAGAAGGGTTTTGAACAACTCAGAATTTGAGCCCATGCTTGGAATTTTGTCACACAGAACTTGAGCTATGGTTACTTTGTTGCTATCTTGTATATCCTTCCGTTGCATGATATCTAGTGCGTATTTTAACATACGTTCAAGGATATCTTTGTTGTCATTTTCAAATGCTTCAATCGCATATCGGAATGCAATCTCGAAAAATGGTTTCATTATTATTGGTTGGATGCTGTTAGCCAAGTGTTTTAGGTTTCTGAAAATGCTTAATATGTCATCTTCCTAAAAACAAAAATATATCAGTCATGACTCAGCAAGTTAACCCCAATAGAAACTGACGTGACAATGGGGGTAATATGGAAAGCTAGAAATAGATAGAGGTTATATCAAATGTCTTTTTCGACCCTCTTTTGACAGCTTGACCTCCAACCACACTAGAGCCGTCGGCAGCAGAATTGGGCATCGCTGCCATTGAGGCCCGAAAGGTGGATTCAGGACTCTACAGGGTGTCCTGAAAACTGGGACTTTACAGAGCATATAGGTCAGGGAATAGTAAGAAAGTTTTTCTAGTAACACAGATAACAAAACCTTAAGTAAGATATTCAGTTCTGAAAAACTCAAAATAAGTCATTCCGACACTTTCTTCATTGAAGGGTATCAAAGGTACTATGACTATGTGTCACTCCTACATCAATAATGTAGATATTGATTTGGTGTTGGTTTACTGTGAGCGTCTTCAAGATTCTATTGATATTCCGCGAGTGTGTTCGAGTATTCAGAACGTTGCCGTTGTCCTCGACATTTACCTCATAGTTGCGTAGATTTGTTTATATCGTACAAAGCCGTCTGGGTCGATGAAGAATTCAGACTAGGAGGAAGGATTTATTTGTCTTCTAATTCTCATAGTCTGTAGCGAAGATCAAAGTCTACTTGACGTTAGTTAACTTTTTGACGTTCTGTCATTAAATGCGTATTTTAGTGTTTTTTAAAAGTGCGGGTGATAATTTTGTTAGACGATTTCAAGACCTGGAACTTTTACATAATTTGCAAAGAGCGACATAAACCTAATGAAGGTAGATGTTTCTACCGTATTATTATTAGTAGTAGTAGAATTATGCCTGCGCTACACTATCGGCGATAATCGTGTGGTAGTTTATAATAGACACGATCATCGTGCAAGCATCCACACGAGCGTCCGTAGTAGTTTCTCAAACGGCAAGCATCAATATGACCCGTCGATACCCTTTGACGCGTGTCCGAAAAACCTACAATTCACCGGTCGAAGGCGATCATAGATGATGATCGGCGAGTACAGTCGAGTATGCCCTCTACACGATCGGTCTCGCGCGTAATCGTTCGTATGATGATGTAGACATCGCCAAATATTGCAAATTTAAGAAGTAAGCAAACTCCAGTTTCTGAATCGAACAGCGACAACTTCAAGCAGTCATTACAAACAAAACATATGACAGGGAAATACTTGAAATGCCGTTCCAAATGAATAGTAAGTATCTTTATTCAATTTCTTTTCTACGTTTTCGGTGCGTCTTTCCCGCAAATCAAATAAGTTATTTCTTCCGTAGTTTTATCTGAAAACGCATGTCTCAACTTTCAGGAAACCTTGTATATTGTAATTGCTAAGTAATAATAGTTAACTTCATTTTATTTGTAATATCATTACAGGAAGCGAGGTTTTTATACCTCTACTACTCTATCCAAAAGGAGAGGTCATTTGGAAAGCTTGAAATAGATAGTGCTTAGGTTTTCCGTCTGTCACGATACAAAATTTAGTTCCCAACTTGTTCACCAATTACAATAATGTCTGTCACGTAAAGAAATTTTTGTAATAAATTCCGTACGAAATCATGTGCATTTTGTAGAAAAAAAAACTATAACTGCCAACTTCGAACTGCCACGTCAAAGTCATACTAACCAGACTTTTCGTTGCGGCTTGCTTGTTACTTTAAACGAATAGAAAATTGTAAAAAATGGCGAGATCCCGTAATTCGCATACGAGGTTTGTCCGGGAAATACGTATAAAAAATTCGGGTCGTCGAGTCTGGGCGTCGTGGAGGGGTGGCCCGGTGGTTTCCTCTCTCTATACAATGCCCTCTATGCTCAGTTCGAGCCGGAGCGCTCTGCGAGTAAATAGGGGCTTGTTGGAACTTACCCTTTCTTTATCTGCCGTCGGCATGGAGCTCTCTCTGATCGAGGAACAGCGCATCAACATCAAGTTTCTTGCAAAGCTGGGCAAGAATGTTCATAAGATTTTTGAGTGTTTGGAACAAGTTTACAAAGACACTTCTCTGAAGGAACCAACCATCAACAAGTGCTTAGAAAGGTTTCAGGAAGGCCGAGAAGATGTGAAAGATGTCGGGGCTGTGTTCTTAAAGACCGTCGATTGTCAGTTAGAATGCTGGCTGAGGAAGTGTCAATCCCAAAAACAATCTTCCACGAAATCCTGATAGAAAAACTTGTGCGCGAAAATCGTTACGAAGCTCTTGACTCCAGAACAGAAAGCAAGGAGGGTTGCTTGCTATGAGGATTGGTTGGAAACAGAGGAAAGGGGAGACTCTCAACCGGGTCATCACTGGAGATGAGACTTGATTCTACGAATTCGATGTTTAGCTGAAATCTCAAAGCATGGAGTGGAATCAAGCAGGGGAACCGAGGACAAAAATGTCTAAATAATCAAGGTCTAAGGTAAAAACAATGCTGATTGTTTTCTTTGATTCTCCGGGCATTGTTCACCGGTAGTTTGTCCCTCCCGGTCAGACAGTGAACGGAAATTTCTATATTTCTACATTGAAATTTTTCGTGTGGCCCGAGTTCGACCGGATTTGGCACAAAGGGGCAGTGGATCCTTCATCGCTACAGCGCGCATGCTCACACGTCTCTCGTTGTGCGTGAGTTTTTGGTCCGATGCTCAATCACAGTGACAGAACACCCGATTTAGAATCTTGCGACTTCTTCATGTTCCCAAAATGCGAAATGGTACTTCGGGGGCGGAACTTGGGGGATGTGGAAGCCATCAAGGCAGAAACGACACGGCAAATAAAAAGCCTCACAATTGAAGACTTTCAGCGATCGTATCAACAGTGGAAACGGCGTTGGCAGAAGTCATCTTGTCTCAGGGCGGATTCTTTAAAGATGACCCTATTGAAATACCTGAACAATTGTAAAATAATATTATTATTCCTATTTTATACGAATGTTCCGGACACACCTCGTATATTATATGCGACTGCGGGACTAGCGATCTGCGATGTAGCTGTCCATCTCATGAAAAAGCAAAGTAAACGAAACCGTAAGAAATTTGGTGTCGAAAATGGATCAGGAAAGGGGACCGGTACGCCTATTGTGTAAAAAACGAAACGAACGAAATGTCATCTTACAGCCTAGATAGATTTTAGTGTGCAAATAGCTCATTCCACGGTTGCTTGCTATGATCGCTGTTCGTTAACGTTTAGGCAACACGTACAGCTACAAAACACGTTCTCAACAGCCTGTACTAAGTTAACACCTTATAGACAAACCTACGAAGTGTCAAAAAAAACTTAGAGAATCCCAAAAACCGACGAAATGTCACTATTTAAGATAAGTACGAGTAATAGCCGTGCGGGGAATGGGTGTACTACAATTCTGAATAAACAACTTCTAGTGGAGGATCTACCGGCTTATACGAGTAGGCCTAATTGGTTCTAAAGTCATTCTGATTTTATCCAATGCAGTTTATTTGGCGTTTCTGTTTTTATAGGCCTTGCTTTTTTAGCATACAAACAATTATATTTCTCATACAGTAGTAGTATGTCACAACGATCTTTTGACCATGACATCTTTCAAGCGTTTCAATCTACAAGTATAACAGCATAAGCATGGGAGTTCTGCGAAACTCATTAACACAACCGATCACAACAACTGATGAAAGTGCTTGAGGTTAGGCTTGTTTTTGTCATCCAATTATCATCTAATCTAATCATCAAGAGAATGTCAAGGAGTTAACACAAAATATGTAATTGCTTCTCACGTCTCGCTTCTATCAGCCTTTGTACTCCAAACGCACAGTAGGTGTGTGCGCACTTTTATCGAGATATTATTTAGAACAGGTTCTGAAACATTATGCAGTCAATTACTTCATAAACAATTATGTACCTAATGCTGGCTGACACTATCCTAAATTTAGTACACTAAATTTGGCACAAAATTTCGTATCGTGACGGACTGCCTTAAGATGATAAAAATGTCAACTGTTCTCGTCACAATACGTCAAAACGCGATGAAGTCGTAAAAATGGTTACCTTTTTATCAAACCTGTCTTTTTCTCAACTACTTTTGACAGCTTGGCGAACCACGCAAGCGCAGTCTATCAGGAACAAAATTGGGCATGCCATTGAAGTTGAAATACACAACTTATCAAGACAAAATTAGGATTACCTTTGGATTCTCTTTCACCGCTTGAATATAATTCTCCATGAGTCTTCTAGAGGTACCGGAAAGAACCACCTGATGTGACGCAATATCCACGCAATGATATTTGACGCTTTCGTCGTGCATCCGTTCTTGGAGGAAGCACCAGTCTAGTGGAGGTAGTGGTTTACTGTATTCTTGAGCGAGTATTCTTAAACATTCTATGTACAGCTTTTCTTGAGTTGTATTCTTCCATTTGTTTGACTATAGAAAATTAAGGAAACTCTGAATTCATTCTGTCTGTTTATCAATAACTAAAATTATCCATGCTGAGATGGAGGAATGCATTCCTCATACAGTGAAAGTGCCTAAACCAGGATACAACGGCTGGTTCAACAAATCGTGCAATACTGCTTGTCAGCAGAAGATCAAGACACGCAGAACCTGCGTACAAAACTCCAGTGTCGAGAATAGACAAGCCGACGTCGAGTCCAGAAACGAATATAACGAAGCGGTCCGCAATACCAAAGACCTGCACGATATAAAAATTAGGCACAGAGTAATCGCAGTGCAATGCTGGCCAAGCAGATTGAAAGGAGTTTCTCACAGAGTAGCCTTCCGAAACTTACGTACCAGGGTGGAAAGATTGTAACCGACTTTTTTTTATATATTCCGACTACCACGAAGGCCTAAGGTCTAAACGCCCATGGGGTACCGTGGGGCTATAGGGGGATACACGGGGAAAGTGGGAACCCCACACGGACTCTGGCGAGGTAACACGTGTGCATGCAACATCTACCACCTACAGACAATCACAACATCCATAGTCAAGAGAAAATTTTCTCTTGGGACGGGATTCGAAGCCGCACAGCGCACGGCGACTGATCAGGAGGCCGAAGAGTCTACTACTGCGGCCACCGCTGCTGCCCAGACTGAAGGCATGCCAAGATCTTTGCTGCCAACCCCACCATGGATGAGTACCGTCGATTCAAAGGATTCGCTACATTATACGGGAACTAACATTCAGACATAAGACCGTAAGACGGGTGCTCTTACCGCTCGACATCAACAAAGAGGAGCTTCCTCCAGTTCTTTCGCGTCTCCTCCATATCTTATGAATCCGGCACCTTCACAGAAAACTGTAAATTTGCTCATGTCGAACCCATTGCAAAACAGGTATCTAAGACTGACTCTTACACAGCGGCGGCGTTAGGGGTTTTAAAAAGGGCAATCGCCCGGGGCCTCTCGCAACAACCCAAGCAAATTTAAAAAAATATAAATTATTTAACTATATTTTTTCTAGAACCTTTAAATTTGATCCTTAATTATTTATTGAGGTATTAACATAGCGGTACCTATATTAAGATAAAGTTAGTTGAAGAATCAAGGCTTTCACGGCTAATTCTAATGTAATTTAGGTTTTTCGGGCTGTTGAGCCTTGGCCGGGTTGGATTTGGTCCATAGGTTTCGGCTTCATCTGCGGTAGCCATCTTCAGTGGCGCTGTCCGCGAGAGCGAAGTGGTCGGCTTGGCGAATCGACTGAAACTCATCGGTTAACTGGATGAGCGTGCGGTTTTATAGGCGATCGGCGGACTGAGGACTGAGTTGTCTGGTGGGGGTACTCTAGGTCTCTTGAGTGACGTGGCTTTTGCGCTTTGTTTTTTAGAATTGGGAACCATGTTTTGTGTAGAGCAAGGCCTTCTTCTTTTCTATTGAAATTATCATTGTGTTTATAGATTTCAATTGCTTCTCTGTACATTCGGGCTGAGTAGTGGGTGGATGTTGATAGGACTTCAGTTTGGTCGAACAGAACATTGTGGCCGCCTTGGAGTGCGTGTTCGGCCACCGCTGATTTATCAGTTTGTCCCAGCCGACAGTTTCTTTCATGCTCCTTGATGCGTGTTTGGAAGCTACGTTTAGTGGTGCCTACGTATACTTTACCACAGGAACACGGTATTCTGTATAAGCCGGCACCGCTCAGGGGGTCCCTTTAAGATACAGAACATCCGGCTCACTTTTCACAAATATCCCACTAGACCTATCGCTGGATTACCTGAAACAAGTTTTTGCAGAGGATATCCTGACCTTGTTTCGACACACCCTAACAACTACATATTTCCAGTGGAACAATCAATTTTATGAACAAACCGACGGCGTCGCAATGGGAAGTCCGCTAAGCCCGGTAATAGCCAATTTCTACATGGAAACGAGGAAACAGCACTGAACACCGCTCCCAATCGTCCCAGTTGTTGGCTACGGTATTGTGGATGATACCTTCGTGGTATGGAGCCACGGAAGAACAGAACTAGCAGTGTCCCTAAATCACCTAAACAATAGTTCATTTTTTTTTAAACTTACCCAAACCTTTACAAACTCTCCAATACCTCTGACAATGCTATGGGTAGGCAAGTAACCATAATTTATTGGCTCTTTCGGACCTTTCACTTGGTAAACGTACTTCAGGTAAGAATCAATTTCTGCAGATATCAGCTGTATGACAAATTTGATAGATTCTTCTGAACAAAATCTTTCTGACAGAAATTGTATCCAAGACCTTCCTAAAAGAATGTGACAATCAAAATAGACATGTTGCTCCAAGTAACATGTTTCGAAACTAAAATCAATTGAATGGTTTGACCAGAGAAAAGGGCGACAAGTTGTTACTGCAAATTAGAAAAAACCTAAGAAAGCATGTTTTGGTTACCTGGTACAAGAAATTGAACAGTTCTAGATCCTCTCTGTTCATCTTCGTCCAGATATTTCTCTGGCATATAAGCTGAAATATGCTCCAAACTAAATGCACCTAGACTTTTCAGTGCCACTCCAGATATACCTGGATTCCCTAGTTCTATATAATCCCACAATTGTTTGACCACATCTTTATAGAGCTCTGTATATTGTGCTGTGTATGACAGATGAACTATTTCTTCTATTAATGAACAGACGCTATAATCGTATATTATAAAGTTTAATGTCATTCGGCCAATGGCATACCCAGCTCAAAATAAAAAAAAAATTGGTGGAAGTTCCACACATCACATCTACTTAGTTAGCTACCATTTTTCTTTCTATTTAGCATTTCATTGTTTTATCCATTTAGAGTCTTCCAGGATAATTTTGAAATTTATATGGATATGAAAAACTACTAGGATTATTTTTTTGAAACATTCAAGGAAATATTGCACGAGATGCTTTTGTAAGTAATAATTTAGTCGTTTACAATACTTGAAAGCAACACTTGAGATAATATATGACAAATGTTTGCTATACTGCCAAATTTATTTCATCGAATGCGGAACAATATAACGTAATTATATTATTTGAGGGTAATAATGAAGACATAGTATACAGTATGATTTAAAAAAAAAATGAGAGCTGGAACGTCAGATCGAAATTATGATTATGCCACCGCATAGAAGAGAAAAAGTGATATTGTTGTTGTGTAATATGTTTGAAATTTGTAGACAATGTGAATGTTTGAAAAGTTTTGTTTCGGACTATAGCCAAGAAAAAATAAAAACGATTCGAAAATACTTAGAATTTCCAAAACTATCCAAGTCTTTTATTTGCATAGGCGAATGTCACAAGATCAATATTTCCTGTGATCCAAACATATTATCATGAGACGTGATATTTATTAATCGTGTAACCTGGACGTCAATTATTGATGCATAATGTTACGTAGAAATCTGATATTATGGACCATAGTGAATACTAATCGTGTGAGGTTCTCTCTCTCTCTCTCTCTCTCTCTCTAACATAGATTTAAACTAATCCTACTAATTTCTCATCTAATAGATAATGATTCAGCTTCTAGAGAACCCTGTACATGAACAATTCAATTTTTGAAAAAATGTTCTATCCACTTGATTTTTGCCGAGCTAGGGAAAAGGGGCGACTGCCTGCCCTTGCCCATGCCTTATAAACGGGGAGCGACATTCTTTGACCGATTACCATACTGTCAAGAACATCTTAAAGGAAAATCTTTTTGTCGTCATCAGGGATCGTATGGAAATGCTCGGTTCATCTGAACAATTTAGAACCATATTTATAAATTAGAATTAACGTTAAAATAGTCGAGATGAGCGCCGTAAAAAGCTTGTAATGCACATTAAGTCCAAATTTAATCAATTTAGAGTGACAGTGATGAAAATCAAATCAAGCGCGACCACTCGCGACGCTTCCTCTCCTTTATAATATTTCAAAAATCCTTACGCTTTGACGACTAATATCCTTTTATCATTTCTAAACTTCGGAGCCAGAGTTGCCCATGTAGTAATGATGTCTATAACTTCGGCTCTACACAGAATTTTGATACCTTCCAAAGCCAAGGCACATGGTAATGACCCAGATTCATCACTGCATTCATTCAAGATTTTTGAGATATGTGCTACCATATCCTTCCCATATAGTTCTGGTCTAAAACAAAATAATAACAATGTTGCCTTATTTCCGTTTTGCCATTCTAAAATCGTTGCTTACTTCTTTTCACACAATCCTTTCAAAACGTACGTTTTGGTTATATAAAATTCCCCCCGTTTTTCTGGAAAGCATCCTTGAGTCAGCATACTTTCTAGTTGAGGATAGCATTTGTTATCAATCTTCCAAGCTTGATACATTAGTGACAAACAAAAATTAAAGAGATCTGCAGATCCTTTACTCAAAGCTTTTAAGGTTGCTATTACTTTTGGTATATTTTCTCTTAATACTACTAGCTTTGGCAATGCTTTTAAAAGTTCATAATGTATTGTAGGATCTTTTGCTTGAGATAATTTATAAAGTACCAACGTCAAAAGTTTTGTTGTTAATGCTATGTTTTTCTGAACGTATTTTTGAATTGTCGTGAATATTTTTTGTTGAATCTTCGAGCTGAAAGTCTCAACCAAAAACAATCCACATAGGAAATTGAAAATGTGTTTTTGCAAACTGCATGGAGTGTGTTCCAGGTTTTCCAAAAAATCCAATAGTGTCTTTTCATTCCTTAGTCGATGTGAGATATCACAAAGATGTAATAATATATAGACGTCACTATTTGAGCGAAGAATCATGTGATTATCCTCAATAAAACTGAGCAATCGCGTGTTATCAAAAAGTTTCTCTTCGGTATGATGGAAACTGAAAATGGCTTCTGCTACTTTTAAAGCATCTTGTATCAGTAGACAAGGATTTGTCATCCACTGGATCAAAGAAGCATTTAAAGTTTGTAGAGCGTACTCGTCACTAACGTGTTTTTCTACAACCAAGAATTTACCTGAAATAGATACATAATACATTTAATCATCTGCAACAAGCACCTCAACATTATCAGAAAATTGTAAGGAATATTAAAAACTACTCACATAGATCTAATATGTCATAGAGATATACTGAGGAGCATATGTCCACAGTTCTTGCTAACATGAGCAGCTGGCAATTTTGAGTTTTTATGTCTTCTGTTTTCAACAAAGCCATTTTTATGCTTGAGATGGTTTGACGTAGGTCATATCTATACAGTGCCATGTAGTGCAGCATAGACAGTTGCCAAAGAATGAGTATTTCTGAGTTTAGTTTCGTTTTGCTTATTAAGCTTTCACTTATCAAGTCATTGGTAGACTCTAATGACTGTACAGTTTTCATCTAAAAGTTTAATAAAATTCTATTTCTATACACATCTGCACATTAACAGAAATTATTGTTCATTGCCATTTTAGTCAGATTGTTCAATGTTTATACACATACCTGCATCCACGAAATTATATTATAGAGAAAATCTTCGTTGGTACCTTCGGTTTGTAGAAATTTCCATAACTTCTGATTACACAAAGTTAAACTAGCATTTAAATGTGGATTACATATACAGTATAAAAACACAGGCCTGTGTAGCATATCTAACTTCCTGTAATAAGTTTGGAGCACTATGAATAAAAACGTAGAAAGTTAAAAATACAATTGGGCTTACGAGTCATGATTTTTTTCATAGCCACATTTGATGGTGTTCAGGACAATTTTCCATAATTGATCATTCTCCACCAAGAGTGTTATGAATGGGTGTTGTGGTAAAAGTAAATTGTAAGGTACTGCTTTACTTGTCAGCTCCAAGAATAATAAATCGTTAATGATAGGTGCAATGCTTGCATGATTCCTAAAAAACACCCAATGAAAACTATAATAATTTTCTGAAACAACTGTGATTCTGCTTCCACCTTGCCATATTTTCACTGTAATTACATACCTCGTAAGTGCTATGGAAGTAACAAAATCAGTCAATGTCGCTTCTATCGATATTTTTCCACTTTTCACTAAATGTATTATACCTTCTCCAGCGACCCTGCTCACAAGCAAATCTGGAGAGTAACATTTTTCTCTCAAATACTTCAATTCTAGACTGTTTTTAATTTCATTGTTATCTTTATTCTCAATCGCCTGTATAATTTTTGAAAATACCAGGGCTATCGTCCTTGGACAGTTCGAAAGCAACTTTCGTTCGATGTCTTCCATGTTACATCATAATATCAACTAACTGCTTGACCCGTTTTGAAAGTGTCGCGTAAAACGGCCTAAAAAAAACTGTCGAACTGTCAGTTAAACGTCAAGAAATAGAAAAAGATACGTCAGCAATAGTTTGAAATTAAAACATTATTAAACCTGTGCTAATAGTTAAATACTAGTTGCAGCTTCAATTTAGGGATTCATGTATCGTATCTAAAAAGTGGGTTTAAAAATAGATGTAGAAACAAAATAAGGTTAGTGCAAGCTTACCTATTTGCCTCAATTTCGAAATATTCCTAGCCCTATTTTTTTTATTACCTTGATACTTGATAATACATAACACTGTTGAGCATTTCCCAAAAAAGTGTTCGTTAATCTAAAAGATCTAATGCAATTATAACTTTCTCATCTCTCTTCATAACCCTCAAATCGACTTTGATAGATGACATTTTGTCCTCAAAACAATTTTTTTCCAGGAGTGTTCACTTGTTCAGGCGAATATACCAGTTTTTGTAGGAATCCGGTAGCTGTTAAAAAATTTACCAAATGGGGCTCTCTAGGCAAGAAGTGAATTTGAGAAGACTTCTGGCAAAATGTGAGTTGATGTGCAAAAATAGAAAGGAAGATGATAAAATTGAAAAGTATGTTGATACTTTGGAGGACATGTTTCATGAAGTTAGGAAAATTGGAGAGTAAGTTCTGTTTCATATCACCAAAATTGACTTAAAATATACGATTCTTCAGTTCTAGTGAAAATGTAGCTTGTTATTTGAGGAGAATCAAGGCTATTAAAGCTAGTCTAGGAATTACAAAAGACAAATATCAAGAGGAAGATGATCCTGAGACCGTTAGGAATAATTTGTTAGGTAAGAAAATATTTACATTTCCATCTTGTTGGCCCAATATACAATTATAAGAATTTCTAGGAGTAAGACACAGGAATGTTACGAAAGCTGCTGGTGATCTAGATGAAATCATTAATTACAATGAAACAGTTCAAGCAAAGATAACAGGTGACATGTTGATGTTAACCAAAACCCTGAAAGAACAGTCTGAAGCTGCCAATAAAATCATAAGAAAAGATACAGAAATAGTTTCTAGATCAGCACAACTCACTGAACAGAATCTGTCTAAACTTAGTGTCGAGTCTTCCAAGTTAGCTGAACATTCCAAAAGGGCATGGAAGTGCTGGATGTGGATTTTACTAGCTATTGTTTTTATTGTATTTATTAGTAAGTGTAATATTTTACTGTGATTTGCTATAAAATTGCTTCAACTTATTTTTACTAAAGTCATGTGAATATAAGGTCTCGAAGCTGTTTGCTGGGATTTTGTACTACACACATTATGACATGTCAGAGATTTTGGATGCACCTACCACAATATTGATTAGGTTATCACCACTGAATAATGTATTTTACCTGAAGATAGCCAAGCTAATGCTATATCTGCATGTCCAAGAAATTATTCAAGATAAAGTGAGACACCATAGAGTCATCTATGAGAATTTATCACAGCTCTTTCAGTAGTGACTATATGTACTTTGGTAAGGTTAGTGTCTCATAAATGTCGCTGTCTATGGTGAGGTTCAAATTTGGCTGACGTAATGTGTACGAGGGAGAAGCGTGCAATATGTATCTTAGAAAGAGTGTGCCGATGGCATCCGTGACCTCGTACTCGGGTTGCTAGGCAACACATTACGATATCAGTGGCATTTGGTTTTCACTGTATATCAGCATACACAAGAGCATCTATGACACACTTACATATTCAAAGTATTATATGTATAGTAAATAGATGTGACGAATTCTCATAGATAACGTATCTCATCTTATGAGACGCGACTACAGTATTATACCCTATTTCACGAGTATCCATCACGCTTTGACGTCTACTGAGGTGGGCAGCTGATCAGCAAGTGAAATTTTTTGTTAGTCTGCAACGTTGACAATAATGGATCGGGTATAAATCTAGTAAAACGTGTTTGTGGCGTTTTGTTTTTTGTATGCAAATGAACTTTTCTAAATAAAAGAGCTGTTAGCAAGTGCAAAATGAATCTGTAGAGTACAAAAAACCAAAACAAAATTTTGTTCTGTCTACCTGGCGTTGACGCATCCGTCAGAATTATGTGACCTGTGCCGATATGGGGAATTTTGAGATATTACTAGACAAACAGCTGTCATTCTACTGTAATTGATACTCGTATAGGGTGTAGGTTGGTTATCTTCTGATAGAATATGTTAATGCCAACACGCACTGGATGTATGCTATATTTTATTGACGACCTTTTTTGTGATATATCTTATTTGATCTTTTCTTATTACAGATATGGTTCTCTTCATGAAGGTTATGAAAAAACGGTATTAGTATAGGGTTGTGATTCAATTATATGTATTATTTATTTATTAAATAATTGTTTGATGTACTGAGGTTGTTGTATGCCCTTTTTGTTTTTATGTGGCAGTGATGTCAAGAAACATTTCATTGATGAATTATGTTTCTTTTTGAACGCGCATATAGGGAGCTAAATAAGTACACAGTTTATCAAAAACATTTTTAATATACCTATACACATAATAGAGCAAATTTACAATTTAACAAAAATATATGTCCTGTTTTGCTTTTACACAAAATATAAATTAACTATGCTAGTTTTCCATACATAATACATTCATTAGCCTTACAACATGGAAGGATTACTGTTTTGTTACATGCCTATTAAGTACAATAGTGTGAAGTTCTTTAGGTATGGGACATCCCTTTTTAAAATTTCTACTATTCTCAACCACAAAGTTGATGTTAAACTCTATGTAAAAATATTAAAAAAATCTACAGCAATTGGTAAATCCAGATAAAATGACAGTTTTTATCTTGAAACAAGCTCCGACTGTATAGAGCTTCTTTGTCTTTCCACTGATTGGAACCACATATGTTTCAATTACTGTTTATTGTACATATTGGGAACCATTGTGGTATCTTTCACACTTACGTGTTTTAAATTAGCAGCCAGACAATGAAACTCTATCAACATGAAAACAACAAGATAAGTTTCAGGTTTTGAACTTAACTCTAAGTTTCTGCCAATACATAATAAAATTAATTCGTAATTTTCAAAATTTGGATCGAACTGTTTCACAAAACTTGTTTAGCGGTCCAAAAATGAACTAACTACTTGAATAGCCCAGGGCAAAATTTTTCCTAGACACGATCTAATACACATGATGGACGTATAAAATTCTGTAGTGAGTGAGTTTTGAGTAATGGTGTTACGAGACTAGAAAGTCACAAATAGCAGTGCAGAATCTAATGTATGTAATACGCATTTTTAATAACACATCATAGACCGACAGTTAACTTATTAGCTTTTATTTTTGTTTTTCATTTCGTCAAGATCCGTTTGGAGATAGTGCAGAACATAGTGCAGGACCACATCATAGCAGTACTTGTATTCAGTCTGAAACAACATAAATGTTCTAAATTCATCAGTATTATTTGCCAGCAACATGCATGCATCAAAAAAAGTTTTTAGATACACTCTTATGTATTTTCAACATAATCCACAATTTCCAAATTAAAATAGTTTATATAGGTCTTGATCGCGGTTTTTGGCGGGTTTCAGTAAAACTTCAGGAATTACTTTCATACATCCATTTCCTCAAGAAATAGATGTGCAGTGGGCCGTTATGCACGAACGTTTGTGTAAACTCACCGATATATGTTTTTGGTTCATTGTGAACTCAGTGAACATGCTAGAGATCAAACGGTGTTTTTTAGTTCTTTATTAACCATTTCTATACACTTTGTACAAATGCTCCTGAAAAATTGCGAAGGTGATAACGACGTGTCGGAACAAGAGGGTTCAAGAGTGGTAGGTAAGTAGAATATGAGTTTCGGCGCCTTTCTACCAGTCCTGAATTCACTGGTTGTGGGGCGTCGTTGTCACATCCTTTTTCCAGGATCATTTGGATACGCCGCGCGATTATTTTTGCGAGCGGCTGTACGTCATATCGACTTTGTATTTGGTCTTTTATACGACTTATTATCACTTCAATTTGGTATGACATTAGACTGTCATAATGACGTCATTGTTGTTGGTCGACGTACGTCAGTAGTGCCCTAAAAATGCCTACATTATGAGGTACTACATTCACAGGGAATGTAGTACCTCTTCTGTGCGCACCCAGAAAAAAGGCCATATCTATCTTCCGGTAGCTCAGATGGCGCCATGTGGCAAAAGTTGCACGGTAAGAGGAGAAACAGAACACGTTGAAATTTAACAAATTTCAGTTATCAATGGCATCTCCATTAGATAGATACAAGAACTACAAAACTAGTTAAATTATACAATGCAATTGAAAAAAAAGTATGATCTATCTTAGCAAACCAGTGTTTGTGGAAGTCACAGGCCGAAGATCAGAGCTTGGTTTATATTAGTCCATGAATTGAATCAACGCTGAAGTTCTAGTAGCCTAGGTTTAACTCAGGCCCTGAAAGTGAGGCAAGCCAAACTCTACATTAGGGCCAAGGCGTAAATAGCTCAAGAGAAGCCTTAAGTAAGGTATATAACAGGCTCCAAGAAAGTAAATCTCAAATAAGACCCAAGATAAGTCAAGGCAAAAGAGAAAGTCTGAAGTAAGTCGTACGGTCAAAGTAAAGACCCAAAGGGGTTAAGCCACGGCTAAGTCTAAGGTGATGGCCAAAAAGAAGGTGCATTTCTGAATTTACGTTGTTAGAAGAAAGAACCAATAAATGCAGGTTATTTGTATGGTTCAAATGAAAAAATAAAGGGTTCCAACAGAAGAGAGAGTGTCAAGGCCATTTTACTAGAGGTAGGATATAATATTCGGATTTCATGGACAACATCATTCGATGGTATCTCAATTCATGTGTGCGTGCAAGATCGAGTAACAGCTACGTTGATTTTCGGCTTGCACAGTGTGCAATTTCCCTTGTGCCGTATGACCTTGTAATGTAACCGCCAAAAACCGCGAAAATCCCTGTAGAAGTGTCAAAACTAAAATACTACTCTAAGGCTCCTGCCACTCTAATGCTGAATACTCACAATATTTTCTATAAGTTGTGGCCTGTGTCGCCTGACTGTTCTTACAGCTTGAAAAACATCTACTTCACCATGTTGGATCACTTGTTCTATGCACGCATTTGCTGCGCAATATATTCCACACCTACTTCTTCCATCGCTACAAGAGATCAAAATATAATTGTAATGATTCCTATGACACAAACGAAGTTTTGTTGTACTTCAATCAAAATGGATATAACAATCAAAACGATTCGCTTCAACCATTGATTAACGTATTTTACCTGAAACTATGCAAACGTATACTATATTCCAGCGCCCAAAAAGAGATCTACGAGATCCTAGCGGCATCTACGACACAATAGCGGAATACAAAAGTAAATTTAGGAATCTACTTTCAAAGGACTTAGTGTTTGGTTTTGCTACTGTCTCGTAGATGGCGCTCGGACCTACAATCCCTTTTTGCGACTCTCGTGTATTTTAGCTGGGTATCTTCAAGTATTTATTAACGTATGCTACTGAAAGATATCGAATTAAAATAGGCATAAAAGAGGCGCAGGAAAAAATTGAAGATCCTAGCGCTCTCTATGAGACAGTAGTAGAATCGAACAGTCTTAACTCTTTTCAAAGTAGATGTCTAAATTCATTTTTATGTTCTGATACTGTCTCATAGCTAAGACTAGGATTTTTCATATCCACGTGTGGGCGCCAGAATTCAATAAATATCGTTACATTTCAATACAGAATTTCCTCAAGAAAATTTTATAGTTATCAGGTTGAATTCCTGAATTATTATCTAAGTTTGATTTCATACTCTGTGTTGCCAGGTATACGTTTGTAGCTGTGAAATAAGCATGAAGGATTACTTACGGAGATACAACACAAACTGGTCCATAGTCAGTCCTCTGCCTCCATCTTTCCACCATATTCATAAGCTCCACGAGAGAATTTGTGGATGTTGGTACTCTGTGGCCCATTGGCCAACATGTCAGTTGGAATAGCTGAACTGTCTTTGGAGGTGCCTTAACTCCTGCCATAAGCTCTGTCAACGACACTATCTGCAATAAGGCAATGGATTATACACGTATTAATATCCACCATATGCAGTGCTGGCCAAAGTCGTTTTAAATTTTAGATTTCCATGTGAACAACAGAAAGAGAGAGAAAACAAGCGTGTTAGAAACATCAGGAGGAACATCCGCACTCCTCTTCTACTGACGTTGCCAGACAAACGTGTGAATGGCGCCTATATGGTGCACTATTTCTAGCAATTGCCTCTTTTTCTCGTACACTGAGAAAACGTGGTCAGTTAAACAGTTGTTTTGGAAAGTTTTCATCACACATAACTATTTTTTTAATTACGAACAAGACTATTCGCTTTAATTAAACTGAATGTTCTGGAATCAGTCTAATTGAAAACAATATACCAGTAAACAAAATTTCTTGAAAATATCAAACCATGTACTTGTTTCATTAGACTTTTTAGTTTGGGAATTTAGCTAATGAGGAAGAGGTATATTCAAAACAATTAAACATGTTAATAAAAGCAGTTTAACTGTTTATTTGCTCGCGGACTCGGCCCTTCATTCGTGAGTGATTTGGAGTATGCAACAGACGCAGTGCCCGTAACGCGCTTCCAATTCCTCAGTTTCATTTGTGATTTTCGCGAGGAGCTTCGCATTCGAATGACGCCGTTGTTGGTGTATTGGCTGTGAAGTGGATCAATTATAGTGATCAAGTGAAATACTCGAGCATAAGGCATTTAGTGACTCATAAGCATGGTAGAATATTTTTCACTCCAAATGAAACATTTTGCATACGGGAGTCACTGCCGCCGTGAGGGAATAGGAAGAACTTTGAAAATTTTATTTATGCAGCCATATTTAGGTCGATGAAGGGCATTTATACCAAACATGTTCAAAATAGGCTCGATGTGCTTTTCTTTTATATTGTATAATATATATATATAGGAAGCGAAGCTTCCTGTTGGTGTAGACTTTGTAGTATTTTAAAATATTTTGCTTAAAGAACTGCCCCTAGTCAATGGTATATACTGTAACCTCTTTCTGGACAAACAGACAAATACTTGATAAAACTTGATTCCATATATAATAAGTTTACAATTAATCAAAACGGAAATTATCGAATTTGCTTAGGGTTATAAAATTCGGAAGTTTTTATTTTGATATAAAACCAAATTTTTTGATATCCGTGTTAAAGTTATAATATACATCATTCAGTAAAACGCAATTTACTTTTTTAAATTCCAAATATTATCCAACTATCCTTATAAGTCTAAATAAAATAATTCATTAAAACTAGTTGAACAAATTTAATAAATATAATTAAATTGCTTTAGTAGATAAACTCATTTTAATAGTGCATTAAATTTGAATAAATTGGCATGAGCAATATAAGTAAACGGTTTATTAAATTTAATTAAACGATTGCGCTTTGGTTTAATTAAACTAGTTTCATAGATTCAAGAATTGTTTAAGAAATCAGAGTCTAACTGAACTGATTAAACTTGTTAGCTGTCACATAGTTGATTAAATATTTTTATTGGCCTAATTAAAATTTTAATTGGTTTAATTAAACTTTTTTCTCACTGTACACATGGAAATCTAAAAGAGAAAATGACTTTGGACAGCACTGTATACCTAAGAGAAAATTATGTTTTTGGCCCTTCAAGGTATTAACGAGGTTGGAGCCAGACTCATTTGACACTACGTTTGTAAAAATTTTACACTCTTATGAATGTTTCTGTTAGTGAAAAACTGGGAAATTGGAAATTTGGACTAGAAATGTTCTAGAAATAGTTTGTCTTACCTTTTTGTTTATTCTAAACACCCAAGTTTTGATGTTAGGATAATGGTTATGGGAAATGTGATCTATCGTGAAAACTGGTCCATATTTCTTTGAAGCTCGACCTTCAGGCCAAAATGGAGGAAATTGTTGCTAAAACAAAAATGTACAGTGAACTTCAAAACCAACGCTTATATCATCATTATCATCATCATCATTATCAGTTACAGTAGTAAAATAAGTGCACCCTAGCCAAGACAAGTAAAACAAAAATCAGTGTATAATAAAAAAAGTCCTAAAATTAGATGAAACAGATTATAACAAATGATTGAAATTGAAGGAATATTTTTGTCCTTTGCCTTCCAATGGGTCGATATATACTTAAGGAATTCTTGGAGTATGAGAAATGCACGGAATTATTTGAAGGAGTGGATAGTTTATTTTGGGAGGTTCAGATATACTTTTTGTCCCATTTTAATATCCCTACCTTGATATTTAGAAAACTATGCACTATAGATAAAAATTAAGGAGGTTTCGAAGGGGCAAACAATTAGTGACCTTGACAATCAGCTACGACCTTCAATGTTATTTCGTGGTCAGGTGCATATTTTCAAATGGAACCTCCTCTTATTCACATTTATTCACATTGGAACTGAACAGACGAGCAAAGTCTACGTCCGAACATCACCTTAGCCATGACCTTAAGGTCATTACAAGGTCCTATGAATATTACGGGAACAATTCGCAAAAATGTTCGACAGCATAGTTGTGAGGCATATGGGAATCGCTCTGAGGTCATCTTGATCATGCCCTTCAAGGTCAAGTCAGTATTTCCAAAGGAAATCTTAAATTTCATGCTGCGAATGGAAAAAACAGGAAATTTTATATTCAAGCGTGACCTAGACCGCATAGTAGAGGCCGTGTCAAGCCTAAATGTTATTTGAGTTCAATTTTATATTCCGATGTAAAGTCTCTTGCTCTTCCTATTTCCAGAATACGAATGAGAGGTTTCCTTTGGAAATGTTGACTTAACCTTGAAAGTGATTTTCAAGGTCAATATCACTTTGGATGATTCCCACAAACCTATCAACTATGCTGTCAAACATTTTTGTTAGAGCAAATTGTATTCGATATCTTTATTTGACCTTGGCATGACCTTGAAGACGATTGTCTAGGTTATTATCAAGGTTATGTTTGGATGTAAAATTTGCAGCTTTTTTTAATTCCGATGAGGAAAAATAGGGTTCTATTTGAAAGTATTCGTTTGACCTTGAGATCATTTTGAAGGACATATAGTCAAGGTCATTGTCAATATCATTATAATTTTGCTGACTCGACACGTTGCAACTTTCGTTCGAAACTTTTTTCTAGAATGCGCAGTTTTAAAAATATTTAGGTAGGGAGATTAAAATTGGACATCGTATATAGTAAGGTAAATAAACACTAATTACACGGGCGCTCATTAGGGGTCAGAGAGGGGCATATGCCCCCTTAGCTTCCGCTTGCGAATTGAAATAATCCTGATAGAATTTTTTTTGACGATTTTTTTACTCCTCAAAATATCCCTACATAGAATTTCTTTCTGCCACCGCTTTACACAGCTATCTGCTTAAAACTGGTTGACTGGGTGTGTAAGTCTAATCTGCGCCCCTCTGAATTTTGCTATATGGGCGCCATTGCTTAAAAACTTACCGAATTATTTGGGGGTACGCAGAGGATAACAACGGCAGAACACTCGTAGTCATATACCAAAGACCAAAATTCTCCACAAGTAGATTTAATTGGCCATTCGGTGACTATATATTCTCTTGGTTTGGTATATCCCTAAAAATAGAGTCGAATTTAAAGTAACTTGAATACAACAATGTGTTTGATAAACAACCGCCTCAGAACTTCACAAATCAAGCTGTGTGGGAGAGATATTTACACGTTTCTTTTTTTTTAATTTGGTTCTACTTGTGTCGCAGGCGCTGGGATCTTCAATCCCTTTTTGGCCTCTCTAATCCCTATTTTGATTGGATACTTCCAGGTGGTATACCTGAAAATGCATAATTAAAAAATTGGCATTAGATAGGCTAAAAGGGGATTCAAGATCCAAGCGCCGTCTATGAGAGACTAGCAGATAAACTTCTTTCCGAAGTAGATTTCTAAATTCATGTTTGTGTTTGGCTACTGTCTCAGGGATGGCGGGAGTATTTTTAAGATCCTATTCTGGACGCCGAATTTGTTATAAAAAATATATTTATACATCGTTCTTTCCAATCCAAACCACATTTCATTCAAAACCTCCATTATCTTGATTAATGATACTTCAGCAATAAGAGACGGTAATGGTTCTGGGTAATCCTCCGGGCAGCTGCTTCCGGAGAATCTTTTCCCGATGAAGCTGTCGCGAGTACAATAGACCACACTAATGGATCCAATTAATTATTAGTATTGCATTTCACTTACGTCAACGAACACTGCGTTTATGTAGTCAGTGAAGCTGTTGCCTTGGAAGGACGTTAAGTAGGGACGGAAGTTATCAGCTGAAAAAAAAAATAACAAAATAAGAGAAACTTTTCCTCTCTTACTTTGCACATAATCAAATGAGAGGCCGTGCATTGGAGCAACGCGAAGGGAAACAACATGTTACGATTGACACGTACAAATGACAAATGTCGTCGCGGTTTCCTTCGCCTCGCTCCGCCTCTGTGCGCAAAGGCGTAGCAAAGAGAGGGGAGGCGGTGGCGCAAAAAATAAGTCGAGCCGTTTGCACAGCTCTGTCTTTTGTTCGACGCTTGTCATCTCGTATCATTTGGATCACTCCATTTAAATATTGTTTCTTTGTCAGTAGGTCCATGCAAGAGGAGTTTCAGTAAATAGGAATTACTACAAAATCTTGGCATATTAGCTATAGAATCCGAGCCAATACAAAATATACTCAGCGACATTAGAAGTGTTACACCCAGAAAAAATGAAACGATAACATTCTCACGAAATTTTATTGACAAGTAATAAGAAAAAAAATTAATAATGTGCTTGGCGATCCCGCGGCTGAATACACTCCTGTATACGTCTAGGCATCGTCAAAATGAGACGATCGATGTCTGGTTGTGGCACCTCATTCCAAGCAACTCGAATTTCATGGATTACCTGTGGCAGAGTCTGTGGCGGATGGTGCAAATGAGATAGTCTCCTCACCATCATATTCCACACATGTTCTTGAATATGAGGACGTACGTTGCATTGCTGAAAAATGACGTGAGGATGGCCCTCTAGTGGTCCTAAAGTGGTTTGTAGGACATCGTCAACATAACGCGCAGCAGTCATATTGCCATGAACAAAGAGAAGGGGTGATCGGCTATTATAGGCAATAGCCCCCTAAACCATTACTTCAACAGTCCTGTGTACATGCCTCTAAACAGCAAATGCAATATCACGCCGTACTCCACAATGGCGTCTTAACCCTTCTACGACCATCGTGCATACCTAGACAGAATCGCGATTCGTCGCTGAAGATGTCATTATGCCATTCTGCCTTCCAATGTTGCCGTTATCTACTCCAGTTCAAAAGTTGACGACAGTGATCCACAGTCGGAGGAAGCAATAACCGTGGACGGTAGGAAAAAAGTCCAAATCTCGACTGCGGCAACAGAATGTAAGTATAGTATAGTAACATGTCTACCCTCTTTTCCAAATCATTGACCAGCGATCTGACGCATAGTAGCAAAGAGGTCTCATAGGGCTAGTTGTCTGAGGCGCCTATCTATCTTGACAATCTGTGGTACGCTTCTGTGGACCAGTTGACCTTTGTGTTGCTCTACCTTCTTCTATCCACACACGACACACACGCATTACTGCCATTGCAGTACAATTAACACGGCGGCAAATTTCGCTATAGGCCAAACCCATATCTCGATAGGCAATAATTCTACCCCTGTCAAAGTCGCTAACATGGTGATAATTTAGATGCCTTCGAACTCGAAACATTTTGTTATGATTGACCTCAGTAAATTAAAGGACACTAACTAAACATATCTGTACTACTCAGCTCTCAGAAACTGCTTTTTTCACAAAAACTAAGAGAGAGAGATTTTAACAAAGGTAAACAAAAACAAAGATAGAACGTTGACATTGTTGCCACAGCATTCTTTAAATATATGCCATTACGTTTCCAAAAAAGCAAGTTGATGAAATTATTTTTTCTGGCACTGGGTATATATGTAAATGTCGGAGACGTTATTTCCGAATATGAAGCCCTTACAGACAGCAACAAGATATTTTATGTTAGAGAAGAGACTTTTTTGTATATTCGATCTTCAGTGTCTTTTTTATATTTCAGGCAGAATAATACATGATGTTTACTAGATCCTTATTGCTCTTGGTAGTAGTAAAAGTATTGGAAATATTCGTAGTAGAGGTGGGGAAGCGAAATCTTGCAAATAGGAGGCAAAGGTCTCCCTTTTTGCCGTCCTCATTGTATCAACACTGTCCTACTCCACAAGTCATCTACTGGTAACTGATTATCGGATAAGCCAGTTTCAGCAATGCGATGTACTTATGTTGATCTTGCACCGATCTGGTGCGTGATATAGACAACACACAACGCAACATCTTTGACTCGTATTTAACTTCGGAGACGGAGATTCGAACCCGCGAGGCTTCGGGCTGACCGATCAGTAGCTCGACGTGCTAACCAATCGGCTATCAGGCCCCCTTCTTATTTGCTCTTAATTTCTGGCGGGGTGTCAACATCCGCACCTGGTACCACCCAAGACAATTTGAAAAACATGGCCAAACCGTTTTGTATAGACCACTGAAATTTCAGACTTGTCATGGGGATGACAGTGGTCAAGAGATATGCACACTTTCATATCTCATTGCTGCCAGCTAATGAAAGGTAGCGCACTTAAAGGTAATTTGGGAGCATAACTGATCTTGAATATGAATGTAAGAAAATCTTGAAGCGTGGCTGTCGTCGAATTTTGAGTAAAGAATGGGATCCTTGGAGCTCGTAGGTTCTAATGCCAAAGTGATATTTGGGTTTCGGAATCTGTGCACACGATTTACCCAGGAAACGAATTTTCATCCACATCGTAGATAGTAGTAGTAGAAAGATTTATTTAGCACATTTGGCTACATAAACAGAACAATTGTAAACAACTTAGAACTAGTATGTATACACGCAAAGAATTTGTTTCGGTACCGTTTTCGAATTGAACTTGATTTACACAATCATGCGGCTTCGAATTGATCAGTCTTTTTAAAGTCTTCCACATCTTTACACTGTCGCACTTGTTATTATCGATTTGTTTATCGTAGAATTTCCTTTTTTCTTCTCTAATTACATATACACATTTATTCCTAAGAGTTTTATATACCTCCCGATCATCATTTGATTTTGTGAATATACATTTATTGTATTGTTTGTCTCTCAAATTTTAAGCTGCCTTAATATTCTTGTTATACCAGGGTGTATTTTTTGTCGAGCAAATGACTTTTTTATCAGTTGCAAGATCTAAACAAGTTTTTATATTTCCTATTATGTTGTCATATATTTTTTCATATTCTCAACAAAATTCCAATAGCAGCCAGCAAGTTCTCGTTCAAGTTTTTCGTACTTAATAGTATTTACGATTTTCTTAATTTTTGTGTCAGAAAAATGCCCTACCAAGGGCAGCATTGTCCAACTGTGATCGCTAACTTTAGGTGTATGTACAGCTTTAATCGCTGCACATTCGAAATTTACAATAACAAGATCTAACAAAGTCTCTGATAATGATGTTATTCTGGTACTCTCTTCAATTTTTTGCTTGAAGCCATAGTTGTTTATGGTTTCTTTCAATTTTCTTGTTTTCATGCTTTTACCATAATAATTTAAATTAAAATGACCTAAAAGTATTATATTGTTTCTAAAATTCCACATTTCTTCGCATTTTTCTTCAAAAAACGTTGAAAATGTATCTGCATCACTGTTTGGTGAACGGTAAAATGTACAAAGATCATAACGTTTCCCAAATAATTTGAACTGTATATGTGCATACCAGTATGCATAGTCTAAAGTGGTACAATCGAATAATGTGATCTGTATTTTGTGGTAAACATAAATCACTACACCTCCAGTATGTCTGGAGTTGGAGTTGCATCTGTAGGTTTTATAATTAGTAATTTGTAGTTCACCATCAGTGATGTCTTCTGTAGCATGTGTTTCGGTAAGACATAATACAAGTGGTTTTCTCCATCTTAAAAACTGTTGAACTTCATCTATATTATTCAAGACTCCTTGTATGTTTAAATGGTATATTGAGTTATATTCATCACTTACAGATTTAGCCACGTCTTGCAAATCTGAGCTTAGTAGTTGCTATTCATTTGCATAACTAATTTTTTCCCTCTCACGTTCAATTTTCCTTTTATATACTTCACAATTTTTGACAAATGGTCCATGATTAATAGGTAATCCTAGATTAAAATCCTGGTTTGCACTTTTACAATTTGGACAGCATTTGTACATTTCACTGGTACTACAGTTTTCTGTTGAATGTCCTTCTAATCCACAAGTAAGACATCTTCCTGATTTTGTGCAGTATTTAGCTGTTGGGATTTGGAATCATAATATATTGTTGGCACTGTCAGTTAAAGTGACTTGATTATTTTGTTTCGTTTGGGGTCTTCGGTGCCTTGTGGTTTGTTTACTCTGCATGGCGTTTGTGCTATGGGGTATGTCATTTGTTATTGTTATTAGTCACTAGAAGCTCTTTCGATAAAATTAGCTGAAAACCGTATCGTTTTCATTTTTTCTACTTTTGATCATCTCAAATACTGAAGTTTACTTGATAATGTCAAAGCACAGCTGCTTTTTTGATCTCCGATAGGCTTTCATTGTCTGGCCGAATAAAACCATGTACAAAGGGTGTTCATTTGAAAACTTCTCACTACGGATTTACCGAAAACCGCTAATTAAAAGAAAAAACGCCGAGACACGTCAGGATTTGTCAAGGGGGACAACTTTTTAACCAAAAACTACTTCACCCCTTTTCACCCTCGGCCCCCCAGGGTCATCTCCTGACGAATCTTAAATGACAAAGGGTATCAAGTAGTAGCTTGATTGAAAAGTCTTTCGAAGACCTTTATTTTGACGTTGGACTTTTTAACATCGGTCAATTCGTTTTCAAGAAAATTAGAAAAATCTTTATTTATCTTAATTTGGTCAGATATAAAACAAAAACACACGAAAACATCACTTTTCATTTCAGTGTGCAGTCTTCAAAATGTTGGCCGATATTGGCAAACAATGATATAGGCGATGTTCAAGTTTCTCACGGAGATTTTCAAAAACATGTGGGATATCTTGGCGGCTTTCGATGATGCGTTGTCGAAGCTCATCCGCACTTTCAGGCTGGAGAGTACACAGAAAAGATTTCAAATGGCCCATAGAAAAAAGTCTAATGACGTTAAATCAGAGCAGGCCATTCCAGAGGCCCTCTTCGCCCTATCAATTTATCTGGAAACTCGTCGTCTAGCCATTGCCGAACCGGAAGAACAAAGTGAGGAGGGGAGCCGGCTTGCTGGAAATATATTTCAGTCTCAGAGCTTCCGCGATTGATTTGGTTTTCAATCGTTTCAGCGATAAGCGGATTTACGGTATTTTCCAACATATTCAAATAAATGTCTGCATTCAAATTTCCATTAATAAACAAAGACTCAATCACTTTGTTTCCTAAAATTCCTGCCTATACATTAATTTTTTGGTGGTGGTTTGGGTATGCCCTTCTACAAAAACATGAGGATTTTCATTGATCCAATACCTGCAGTTATGCTTATTAACAAATCCATTTAGATAAAATGTGCATTAATCATTGAAGCAGATATTCTTGACATGTATCGTATTATCATTAATCGCTGCTGCAGTCATTTGTTCACAAAACCCAACTCGCCTATTGAAATCATCTTTGGTTAACTCTTGCAATATTTTCGTTTTGAATGGATTAAATTTATGGAGTTTAGTAGCTGTCTATACCTTAATGAAACACCAGTCGCAGCAACAATTTTGCGTAATGAAGTATTAGGATTTATTCCAAAATGACCCAAAACTTCAACTTGAGCGGCTTCATCCAAAACTCTCCGACAATCACGTTTTTTATTTGCAACAGATCCAGTTTGAGTAAATTTAGTAAGGTCCAAAACATGAGTATGCGAAGTTATCTTTCCCGGATGTCTGGCTGTAAACGAGACGGCAATTTTCCGAGCACATTGATCTTGGACACCATAAATTAGAATCATTTCCACTCTTTCGGCTAGTGTGTAAACCATTTTGGAAGTAAAATCTGAATCAATAAATTAATTTTCACTATCTCGAAATTGTTGCAAAGGTAACTGGCAGCAAATTAAATTATTTCTTTCCCTTAGCTACAAATAATTAAATAGGTATAACAATAAATACAGGATATGTGTGTTGATGAAAAGAATGAGGGAAAATCGGGTTGTTATTTGGTTTTGAACACTTATTGAGATAAAAAGTGATATTTTCATGAGTTTTTGTTTTCTATCTGTACAAATTAAGATAAATAAAGATTTTTCTAATTTTATTGTAAACGAATAGACCGATTTAAAAAAATCAAACGTCAAAATAAAGGTGTTCGGAAGACTTTTCAATCAAGCTACTACTCGATACCCCTTGTCATTTAAATTATACAGGGGATGACCCTGGGGGCCACAAGCGAAACAGGATGAAGTAGTTTTTGGTTAAAAGGTTGTCCCCCTTGACAAATCTTTTGAACTATGTCGACGTTTTTTCTTTTAATCAGTGGTTTTCGATAAATCCGTGGTGGGAGGCTTTCAATTGAACATCCTGTATATGTTTCAGTTTATATTTCTTGTACATTTCGGTCACCACGGTGATTCTTTTCGTGACCCTAATATAGAATTATTTTTCTCACATTTAATTCAGACCACCCTGTAGGTTTCGAATACAAAATTAACTTACGTGGTACAATTAGCACATCCCTATTCTTCTTCCTGTTGTCGCCCCTATGGCCCCCAGCACAATCGCCGATGGTAAATCTGGGCGTTTGTTTGCATATCAGCATATATTCCCGTTGATACTCATTCATTTTCGTAACGGTGTCCTTCACAGATTTCTGCTTCAACCGCTGGGATAACTCGCTCACTGGGAACCAAGAATTCCCACAGGTTATATGATCTTCCAGGCAATCATAAATGAATTTGTACTGTTCCTGTGAATAAAATTAACATAAAAAACCCTTTCTCGCTAAGGACGTACCCAGCTCAAAACGGGAGGGAGGCAACATTTTTTGGTGGAAGCTCCACAAATCATGTCTACATAACTATGATTTTCTATTTGCATGTCATTCATACAAGACGTCCCGTATCGTTATGTTCAAATTTTGGGAGCGGAAAGTTCACTTCTTTTCAAGTAACAAAACCCAAAACTTGTATATCCATTCTTATTTATTTCAAAGTTACACGCCCATTATTTGAAGATAGTACTAAAAATAAAGTCGTAAAGCAAATAAAAACTACTACTTTTTTTGTCTGAGATAAATAAAAACGCAACTGTTTTATGATAAACAAGGCAGTTATTCTCGGAACATATCTTTGCATGCACGTCATTAGTAATCGCAATCATACGAATAAATCAGCCGCTAGAACAGCAACTAAGCGATACAAGCGATCAAGGTTAAGTAGCCTCAGCTTCATAGTGAGTGACGGTAGATTTTCTTCTGAAGAGTAAGCAGCCATGCATTTTGTGTATGGCTACTGTAACGGCAGTACTCGTCAAGCAGTTATGGAATATCGACATGGGCTTGGAAATAGACGCATTCCTAATTACAGAACATTTATGGAAGTACACAGAAAAATTCGGGAATGCGGACTGCGTTATTATCTTTTCGATCTGGGAGTGAACTTGCCAGCACACTTGTATAAACAAGTTTTACTATAAATACTGTTGTAGGTGATCCAACTATCAGTGTACGTCAAATCGGTAGACAAGTCGGAGTACCGCGAATGACTGTTTTGCGAATTTTAAGTGTATTCGACCTATATATTCAATTTTCATTTCAGAACAGCCCTCTGGACAGATGCAGCTACCTTCACATTTGGTATTACCAATCTGGGAAGCCTGCATAGGTAGGAATCAGAAAATCCCAAAGCTGTACGTCAATGTAATTTTTTTTAACATGAATTTTCTATTAACGCTAGGGTTGCCCTGAAAGGTTGAATGCGGACAGTTACCTTCAAGTTCTTATGTACGAACGGCATGGACTTTTGGAGGATTTCCCACTGAATGTTCGCCTACACATGTGGTTCCAAATGGATGGGACTCCAACACATTTCGGAATTGAGATGAATTGGTCGAGGTGGTCCTATTGCCTGGCCCCCTAGACCACCCGATCACAATCGCATTGATTTTTATTTATGGGGGTACATGAAGCTTTGGTCTATGCGCAAGTTTCAAATACAATGGAAGAGTTATTGGCACGTATTCAGCAGGCTGCTGAACAAATACGACAAAACAGGGGCCAAATACGAATAACTACGTCATCTGTTGGCTTAAGGGCACAAGCCTGCATTCAAGAATGAGGTGGACATTTTGAAAATATCATCAATTGACCTTTTTTAAATAAAACAATTTTTATTTACTTTACGAATTTATGTTTAGTATTATCTTCAAATAACATTCATGGGCGTATAGCTTTGCAATACATAAAAATGGAAACCTTTGCGTTTTTTTATCTGAAAAGAAGTGTACTTTCCGCTCAGAAAATTTGGACATAACGATACGGGACACCTTGTATAGTCTTCCACGACGATTTCACAATTCATATCGATATGGAAAACTACTTAGATTACTTTTTTTAAACATTCAAGGAAGCCAAATGTCAACCCTGTTGTAAAAAAGACCTTTATTCTCGAAATAAAAAAAAATTGGTAATTTTTTATTAAACTTCAAGGTTATAAGTCTATAGACGAATTGGGAAAGGGATGAGAACACCTTCAAAATGGCTGTCCAACACGTTGCAACAGTTAATTTGTTATTGCAAACAATCGGTCATTTTTTTGCCGAAAACTGCATAAGAGTAAATGTGAAATAAAGGTTGCAGCTTTTATAGTGATTAACATCGAAAAATCTTCAAAAGTGCTCAAGCTATCCAGCGACATAACTGCTGCAACAAATTAGACATTCAGGGTGAGTTTTATTATCTAATTGGACAATATCTCCATTACTGTAAGACAGTCAAAAGTGTTGTTAACAAAAATTGTGGAATATACGCTTCCAACAAGGTGACCCATACCGACATGACAATAGAAGCGATTTTTTCAATGTAATACCGTACATTTTTTAGTATGTATTCTAAAATGCCACTTCCAATGGAGACGTTTTGATATAGCCAGCGATATAGCATATTATACTAATTCCGGAAATATTTTTTTTGTCGATATTTATTCGTTATTTTTTACAATTACTTGAAATTTCATCATATAGACAATAGTTTTGTTGAATATGTAGGAGGATATGTACCTAGTTTATTCTAGAATGATTTGAAAAAAAAATTGTATGCAGTATCTCCAGAGATACACGAAAAAATAAAGAATTTTCTCAAAATCGTTTCTAATTTTTTTCTGAATTTATTTGAGATATATAATCTGCACATTAACATTGCCACTTTTTGATCTCTGCAAGTTGGCATGAATAAATAATTCTGATTTCAAATATTTTAGCAGGTCATAGATTATTATAAACATTTTTTTTTGAGTAACTTTAAAATTATCATATACTCATTTATTTCATAGAATATCAAAAATAAAAGTGCCTAACTTCAGACAGTTGATTTAAACTTTTCGAATGATGATAATGTAACTCATTAATTTATATTATTTAAGGGGAATAATCGAAAACGATACAATTTTAAAGAACTGAGGGCTGAAACGTCAGATCGAAATTCTAATTATGCCATCGTGTAGAACAGAAAAAGTGATAATGTTATTCTGTATTTGTTTGAAATTTGTAGACAATGTGAATGTTTGAAAAAGTTTTGTTTTGGTCTAAGCCAGGAAAAAATAAAAGCGACATAGAGTAAATTCGGAAATACTTTGAATTTACAAACTGTCCAAGTTCCATTTTTTATTTATCTACGCAACTTGGTCCCATAAAGTACCCCGCATCGTATATTTACTCGTATCATGAGATGTGATACTTATTGACCGTGTAGCCTGGACGCCAGTGATATAATTATTGATGCAAAATGTTACGTAGAAATCCACTGATGGTACAGACCACAGTGAATACTGATCGTGTGACATTCGCATTACCGTTGTCGAGATCCCAAAGGCGAGGTTCGAATTTGAATCACGCATAACATATACAACGAAAAACGAAATCGCATCGACCGATTTAAAAAAATCAAACGACAAAATAAAGGACTTCACAAGACCTTTCAAATAAGCCATTACTTGATAACCGTTGTCATTTAAGATTGTTAAGCGGATGACCCTGTGGGGCAGAGGGTGGAAGGGGGTGAAGTAGGTTGTGGTTAAAAAGTTGCCTCCCTTGACAAATCGTTTGACGTGTGGTTTTCGATAAATCCGTGGTGGGAAGTTTTCAAATGAACACCCTGTATAGTGCTCTAAGTAAAATTAGGTTTATATCTAGCATAGATTTCAAGTGATCCTAATAATTTCTCATTGCATCGATATTAAATCAGCTTGTGGAGGACCCTGCACATGAATAATTTAATTTTTGTAAAGCATGTTCTCTATTTCATTTTTGCCGAGCTAGTGAAAAGGTATTCCGGCAATTCTGGGACAACGTCTAGTTGATGGTAGATGACAGGTACAAAAACCGAAGTCATCTGCATAAGTACTTCCTGTGGTATCTGCGAAAGTTCTTGAAAAATTTCCTTAACTTCACCAGAAAGGCAGAAACTGATTCTTGAAGATATATTATTATCGTTACTTACTACATTCTCCACTAATCCTTTACGTGCTTCTCTCAGTTTCTTCAAATACCCAAATACGTCAAACTTATCTTCTTCTTCAGCCAGTTCCATGTTAGCATCTATGGACAAGTACACTCCAGACCTACCACCTCCATCACTGAAAGTAGTGAGCAATGAGACGACAAAAAATATCAAAATATCTGATGTCAAAACTAAATCCTACAAGAAACTGAAAGAGGCATAATTTGAAACCAATGCTACTGCAGAATTGAAAAAAAAATTCGAAATGGCATGTAGTTCATTTCACTTCACACCTGACACCGTTTGTGTAACAAGTTAGCAAAGTTATGAAGAAATGTCTATGTAATAATTGATCCAAGTGTTCTCTTTTGAAAAGTTGTATTGATACTGAAGTAACTCACTTGCAATGTACCACCATTGGTCCAGCCTCGTTAGACTTTATAACATGTCCAACAACGGCCCTAACTCTTCTTCTAAACTCTAGCAAAGCATTTGTGAACGGACACGAATGACTGTGCCACTGCGTGTAGTGAAACTGAAGGATTGTCCTTTCTTCGGTTATACCTCCCTGAAAATATATAAAGTAATCAGGATCTATAAAAATCAATCTTCCGAGAAAAACGTTCGCACCGTCAACAAGTCACAAACAAAAGATCAAGGGTCACATGATGATGCATTTGATTCTTGTCGATACCTAATAAATGAATAAAAAAATTAAAAAAGTCGGAGATGCTTACGTTCTCATCAGTTTTGTATAGCCTAAATGTCCTAATATGAAAATTAGCTAATTCCTCTTCTTTAAGAATCTGCATGTGTATACCACCATATGTCTCTTCAAGTTCTTTAGAGGGAGGCCAATATTGGACACACATTACCTGAAATATGTTTCAAATTACAAATATTATACAAAAAGGTATAACAATTGGAAAATAAGCAAAATTTTGCTGCAAAACTCATTCACTATAGTGGACAAAGCTTTCGAAGAACGAATAACTACTAATCTAAAAACCTTGAAAACAAGGTACCGTGTTACCTTAATGAAATCAAAAGTTTTTGTTAACATCACAATACAACTGGCTCTTGCTTGCCATATCATCCTCCAGAAATCTGCGACGGTTTCTTCGGTAGGTCCTTGAGTTACTATGTAAGCATTAGGTTTCAATAAGCTCTGCAAAAATAAAAAAAAGTTGCGTTCTGATCAACTTTGGTATTGGTATGATACTCACATCTATGTAGGATGCATTTATGTAATCGGAATCATGTTCACCCTCGATTGACTCTAAAACTACCCTATTATAATCATCTGAAACAAAAAATTCCGTCAACTAGTCGCAGATAGCAAACGAATTTAATGGATCAAGTCAATCAAATAGGCCCATGCATACAATTATCTGGTTGCTTCTTAAAATTAGCATATTCCACATTGTTTTGTATACCATTTTCAAGATTTCTCAAGATTGGGCTCCCGTCCGCTATTCGAACATTTTTGGGCTTATTGTATAATCATATGTCAATGTCCAATCGCCGAGTTTGCTATTTAGCATCAAGATTTTGTAAGATTTTACTAGTTTTTAACATTCCACATTAGTACGCGCTGTATCCAAGGCTTAGTGGTCGGCTCTTGGACCTATTACTGATTTACAAATAAAAACAACGATCTATGTGTAGACCGACCTTGACTACCGAGGCTGTGTGGTTATATTCATACTAAGCAGAATGGATTTCAGCTCTGTCCACGGTTTTACGTAGTTACGTCAAAAGGTCATACGAAATAGTCAACATATCGTCGTAAGGTCAGTGTGCCGGAAGGTCTCCGAACGGAGTGGGCAGGTCTGGTATACGGTCATTGAAGAGAGTTCTGGCGCCGGAGTCTTTGGGCCTGGAACTAGGCTATCTCTGCCTCTCGGCAGACTCCACTATTTTCCAACCGGAAATCTGTGCGGGACGCTGAGACAAAGGGCAGATGCTCTTGCAATGAAGAACCATCTATAGACATCTCTGTTAGGCAATGGAGCTCATCGTTGGGCCCAGTGCTAAGAAAGGACGCTTTTGCTTGATTTTAGATAGAGCCAACCTAAGATTGCTGGTAGGTCTGTTTTCCAGCCACATCACGCTGAGTTGCCTACTGCATGTGATTGGGGTGGCCCAGGATCCCTTGTTGGAGCGCTGCAGAGTATGTTCTGTGTCGGTATGAGGCAATGAGCTACTACAGGCAGACTATACTGGGGTCCATCACTTTGGATCCCCAGAACATTAAGGAGCTGGGACTCAAGGCTATACTCAACTTTGCTAGAAGAGCGGAGCTTGAGGCGCAGGGAATGTAATGGTGCGTAATTCATTCATTCATTGCCAATAGACCGAAGATTCTACAAATAAGCAATTTGAGGTTAGTATTCCACGTAGAGCCCTAAAAATAAATAAACCGCTATGTGATAACTTATAGGTTTTGAAAATATATTCTCTCGCGAAAATTGTGGTTTATTACCTTATTGAATGAATAATATATTTCGCAGTTTGCACCACCACTATGAATAAATGTCTAGACAAAAGGAAAATTTGACTAATGGCCAATGAATTCATCCAAAAATATCATTTAACTGGCAACACCGCATTTATTTCCAAGTAAATGAGAACATGTTCAGACGGCGTCTGCTGTTTGGTGGACGCCATGTTTTTAGTCATCTCTTTTTTCTCTAATTTTGTTCGGCTTGTCTAACTGTCTTTCCTTTTTTCTTTATATACCTAACTACTCTTTGGTACTATTATTATTCCACATGTAGAGGTGCCACCCCGTCACATAATCCTCCATCTTATAGCCTCACTAGTCAAAGATGTTGTTTCTAACTTAAAATCATTGATTAACGTATTCTACCTGAAGGTAGCTAACCTAATCCTATGTCCGCGCGTCAGATATGAAATGAGGTATCGTGACCTTCTTCTGTGTCTGAATATGTACGTCGGTGTAACCAACTATATATGAGCTTACAGCTACAGCGCTATCTATAACACAGTAACTTTTTCGAAGATTTCTAATTTCTGCCGTGAAGAGAAATTTAGACGTGACGAATTGTCATACATGACGTTACGGTATCTCATTTCATCCCGGAGAATTTTTTGGACGCGCGAATATAAAAGATTAGGTTGGCCATCTTGCGGTAGAGTACATTAATCAATGCTTAAAAATTACCCTAAAAATATGATAAACCCTCTGAGAAAATCCAACCGTATAGGACCGCTCAATTGTACAAAAAAACCTCGCTGCGTACCCTGAAAGAGATAATTATCTGTCATAGCGTGGAGTCCTTTAGCTTTGATAAGGGCTTTGAGCTCCACTCGCTCGGCAAATAACCCTACAGCCCTTTGATAGGCTGAAATTAATTAGCTTTGCCACATCGTCTCTGTAGTCCGTCAGAGCCATGTTAGAGATGTGTCAAAGGTGCTTTGTTGAATAAACTGACTCACTAATTCAACTGACGAACTGCCAAAGATACGTAGGCCTCGATCATGTCAATATTTTACATCAATAAAAAAATAAATCCCAACCATTTTATGTGACTGATTCAAATCTAAATAACACATTAGCGGTCATAGAATCTCTCACCGGACAGCTTAACCATTCGTTATTTTTGTTGCACTAAAAACTATAAAATAAGTTACTCATATATTGCACACACACTTCTTCGTAGTAAGCGTAATACAGAAGAATCTTGAGTAAACTTACAAGGAATGCATTTCTGATTCTGATTTTTCTCTAAGTTCGCTTTCTTAGTTGCGTGCCTGCAAGAATGCGCTTCCGCTTTAATGGCGATCTGAAACAAAGATATGCAAAATTAGTAATCGTGTTTTTATGGAAATTTCCACAATGCTAATTACTCCTACATCTTTAGGATGCTTCCAGAATATGAAGCGAAAACTCACCGTTTCCAGAGTAATCATAATTTAAACGTTGACTTAGTCTGTCTATCAGACAATTAAAGCAATAAGAAAAAACGCTTAGCTAAATGGTTTTCATCTTTTACATAACGATACTGTGAACAAAAAACAGACACTAACGACCTTAGTCACTTACTTCTTGATTAAAAAACTTATTAGATTTGAATCCTAAGCGGTGTAATATTTTCTGAGAATTTATGATTGCTGCTCATATACATACAGTCCTTTTCTTGAATGTCCCCCTCCGCTTTGATTTTTTGAACGGATCAATCCAAAAATTAAAACTTGAGGTAATGAGATTGATGTGTGGATACCATATTTTAAAGTGAAATTGACAGATGAAAATGTCAAGATTGCCGCTGGGAAACATATTATATGAAAACGGAGGTTTTGTGGCACATCATTTTGAAGCTCCTGACGACTACTTTATAACCCTAGAATATAAAGTCAATACCTTTACCTACTACAAAATGGTGGTACATTTAATAATTACTTGAACACAAACCCACTAACATGCATATCTACAAATAGTTGTAATTCTCTGCCGTATCCACAGCAACAGCGATAAAAACTTGTTTTGGTTATTTTTTGTTGACAGTGACAAGAATATCAGTATGAAAACAGACATCATTGTACAATTAAAATATTCTTATTTAGTTTTCGGTTTTAGTGCTAGATACTGCTTGAACTATTTTTAAAATGGTCAACTCTCGTTCATTGGAAGAAAAAATCGAAGCGATTTTTATTTATGGTGAGACGCGTACCTTCCACGAGACCGAAAGCACTTTTAATGATCGTTTCTCAAATCGTCCTATCTGTAAAAAACATTTAAGGGAAGAAAAGCAAGTTCAAATAATTGGTGAGATCATAGTAAATCCCCAACAGTCTACTTCCTCCATCGCGAATGTATGTGAGGTTTGTCCTTCTACTGTATGGAGACTTTTGAAAAAGAGTAAGTATCACCCATATAAAATTGAAATGGTACATGAGCTAACTGAAGATGACCTTGATCGAAGAACAGTATTCTACGAGACTATGACGGAAACCATTGCACGGCGTACTACCTATATCCAAAATATTTGTTTTAGTGAAGAATGTACATTTTTTCTCAATGGTATCGGGCACAGACAAAATTGTCGTTATTGGAGTGACACCAATCCTAACGTCTTCCGGGAAACTCATACTCAATATCCACAAAAAGTTAACGTTTGAGCTGGGATATTGGGAAATCATATTGTGGGGCTATTGCTGGAAAATACTATTGACCCTCTAATCACCCAAATCGTCGAAGCGAATCCTAGTGAATTCGATACTGATATTGTATTCCAGCAACATGGTGCTCCATCACACTACTCCAGACAAGTTAAGAATTATTCAGATAACAATTTCCCCAGTCGTTGGGTTGGCCGTCTAGGTCCTGTGGAATGACCAGCTCGCTCGCCAGATTTGACACCTTTAGACTTTTTTTATGGGGCTATTGGAAGCAAAAGGTATACCAAACTGAACCTGCTTCAGTATTGGATATTCGGCTGAGAATAACAAATATTTGTAGAAATATCGAAGTTACTATGTTTGAAAATGTTCGACGCAAAATTTCGGACCGACTGTTATTGTGTCAAGAAGTTCAAGGCAACCATTTCCATCATCTTTTAAACTGAACTCAGCGTATTTATTCGAATTATCAAGTTAAATGTCAATGTATTCAGTTACTTATTAAATGTACCACCATTTTGTAGTAGGTATTGCCTTTATATTGTAGGGTAATGAAGTACTCGTCAGGAGCTTCAAAATAATGTGCCACAAGACCGCTTTTTTCATATAATTTTTTTTCCAAGATGGCGCCCAGCGACCATCTAGTCATTTTATCTATCAATTTTACTCTAAAATATGGTATCCACGCACCAATTTCATTACTTCAAGTTTTAATTTTTTGAATTGATCCGTTAAAAAAATCAAAGGGGAGGGGGACATTAAGGAAAAGCACTGTATACTTGAGACAAACAGTCTGGATTTCTTCTCCTTGCGTCAGCTGTTTTGGTACAGTCGAACTGCCATCTCCTTGTTTTGTTTTGTGTTCTATTCTTTATTTTCATAGCTGATGTAAAAGAAGTTTGTTCCTCGTGGGACGGGTTTTGCGTGTCTCATTCAATAGGTTTTTATATCTGGCTTTTAATATGTTTATTTCTAATGTCCCATTTTAAAGAGAACATTTTCAACTTGTTGGGGTCTGAGGTATCATAATTATGTCTTTTAATACATTGTATGTACGCTCTTTATTGTCATCGTTTTTGTTTGTTTGCTCTGTAGTATTTATCTTCTTGTGTATTTTCTTAGAGCTTGCTAACTTTGCAATTTTGGATTTATATTTCTTCGTATCCCCGAGGATGCCGTAAAATGAACGCCCAAACGATGACATTTGACATTTTTGACCACTCTTGATTTATTCCAAGGATCCGAAGGTACCTATTAAAGAACTTTATTATGTTAGAGTACGGACATTTAGTTCATTTTTTCCTTTTTTTTTTTTTGTTGAAACCGAAATATCTTTCGGATTCCAGTTATTACCAGTGTATATACAGGTAATCAAATAAGTTCGTGCGTTTGCTGTATATCGCACATTGCCATGAATGTTGTTGATCGATAGCGATTGTTTGTTACCTGTTGTCACTTTATTATGAATTCTTTTTTCTCACACACATAAAAAGTTTCTGAAAATTGTTACATACATAGTTATAATAATTGAAAATGGCGACGAAAAAAACAGAAATTCGAAGTTGTTCACTGTATGAGTAAAAACTTGGTACAAAAGCTGCAGCGGCGGCGCGAAAACTATGTATCGCATTTGGAGATGATGCCGTTAGTTATCGAACAGCACAGAAGTGGTTAAAAAAATTTTCTTCGGGAGATCTCAGTTTGAGCGATGAACTGCGCTCAGGGAGACCAAAAATCATGAACAGCGAGGATCTTCGAAAAGTTGTGGACGCAAATTCCAGGACAACGTGCCAAGAACTTGCAGAAATGTTCAGAATGAGTCCTGAAACTATTCGTTTGTATCTTCATCAGCTATGAAAGACGTGGAATATAAGCAAATAGGTCCCACATGAACTGACAAATGGTAACATTTCACGCAACGCTAATGAACCATTTCTTAATCGATTATTAACCTGTGACGAAAAATGGATCTTGTATTCGAATTCTAAGCGTTCGTATCATTGGTTGTCGCCTACTGATTCGGTACCACACACGCCCAAGGCTTCCTTGAACCCAAACAAGGTTTTGTTGTGTGTTTGGTGGACAGCAACTGGAATTGTCCATTATAAGTATTTGGAAAGGGGTCAAACCATTACTGCTAACTTGTATTGTGAACAGTTTCAACGAGTACAAGCAGCAGTCATCCAGAAACAGCCTCCTTTGATCAATCTGAAGAAAGTGATATTCTTGCAGGATAACGCCAAGCCTCATACCGCAAAAGTGACCCGAGAAAAAATTTCTGCACTCGGCTGGGAAACCTTACCGTACCTGCCATATTCTCCCGACATTTCGTCACCTTTTCTTGTCTCTTGACAACTGTGGGAGGCACCGACTGTTCACAACTCGAGATGGTGCAATAAATGCAGTCCGCCAATTTTTTTACTCCAAATCCAGGGAGTTCTACAATACCGGCATACAAAAATTGGTTCCACGTTGGCAAAAGGTCATTGAATGTGTTGGTAATTACTTTGACGAATAAATAGTGTCTAATTGCACGAACTTATTTGGTTACCTGATAATTTTGTCAGGACAAACATAAGCAGATAGAAAAGCTAGTTTACCATGTGGTGTCGGTATGCTACTATTTTTTGGTTTCTAACTTTATGTACAGCAATTACTATTCGTCAAAAAATCACTTTTATTGCAATTATCATCGCTGTAATCGATTTTTTATTCCATTATCTCTTAATAATTAAAAAACTATTCGAATGAACAATTTATCTTAAAAAATGATCTTATTGCAGGAAAATGTTTCACGAAATCGGATGTTTCATAGCTAGCTCCATGTCTGAATTCTTTTTTTAAATGTTTTTGTTCTCATTGTAAATGTCTTCCCTAACAACAATTTTCTAACTGACATTCGACCCCTGCAATTAATTTAGAGGTCGGCAGATGTCTGTTATAATATTTTTGGCAGTGCCATGGTAATATCTATACAGAAATGTGTTAGAATCAAGTGCCAAAACTATGATGGGGTACGGCGATATCGAATTTTTAATTTGAAGGGTGGAAATTCGGTTAAAATGAGAATCTCACGTAAATGACAATATTACGAATTTTCTTTTTAGTTCGGAAAATATTGAATAGATTTTCCAGGTACCGCTATCTAATATACTCTTATATGCTAAAATAAAATATCGCTCAAACTTTACTGACATCTATTACCATTCCCAGGAACTCAACACACGTTAATTAGAGTTTTAAGTTTGTTAATCTCAATGCATCAGCTCCTATTGAAGTTCGGTATTCATAATCATACAACGCATTTTATCTAATTTTAACAAGTATAGAATCAATTTGCATTAAAATCGGAGTAAAAAAATGGCATCTAGTAGGTTAGTCCTACACTTCCCACGTAATGTCTTCATCAGTTCATAATAGATTATGTTCCGCACAAGTTAGACCCTATCGAAATAAGACCGCGCCACATCCTGAATAGAGGGTAGTCGCTATGCTTCCGTCAGTTGTCTCAGAGATCATGCTGATGAGAGTTGCCAAAAAGCACGTAACAGCAGTCTGTGGTCGGCTGTTACGAACATGTATAAAAAAATAAATGAATCAAATCGATCAAGTCAGTCAAACAGGTTCGTACATTTAGTACCATCCATCTGGCGTCGCCTTTCCC